AGTGGCCCAGCAGCGATATTGAGCATCTGGCCTTCTTAAACTACCACCATAAAGCATACAAACAGACAAGTTCATAAACCAGGGCAAATAAAACTGAAATCTAAGGACTTAAATGTCTTGCTCTATGACACAACAACACTGTTCACACTTATTGTGGAAAATTTATTTCCAAAATTTAACATTAGAGTTACTTTATATTAGGGTTGTCAAAATAAATTGATACAACGCATACTAATTACCATTACAGCTAGTATTTGAGCAGGTATTGGTATTATGAATGGAATTAAACTTTTTTCAGAAGCAGTACATGGCCAATAGAAATGTTATGTACTTTTGAAATCATACATCAATTAGCACACTAAAACAGCTTGCATCAAAACTTCAAATTTCTATTAAATACAAAAATTTCAAACTCGATTTCATTACTAAGGAATAGACCTGATACTGATGATTTATCCCATAATTAAGGGTGCACCGATCTGACACTGGTATCAGATACTGAAACATTTGCTGGATTGAATATGGGCTTCCAAATATCTGTTCAGCTGATACCTCTAAATCGATGCTATAAGACTATTATTTACTGGTCGCAGTCGGCCCAGAAAGTCATATAATGTTATCATTTTTGGATTTTGAAACATCTGGATCAATTTTGTCTTATTTTACTTCTGTTTCAGCAAGTAGCAAGTAGATAATATTTTCAGTCTAACAAATATCAGTTGATATTGGGTATTGGCAAGATATCAAAATCAGTATCGGAACTGAAAAAGCTTGATCAGTGCTCCCCTAACTACAATGACAATTAAAACAGGCTCTTTATTTAGACAATAGAGTGACATTTTCAACACAATATAATCATTTTTACTTGTATGTACTAATTGTGATCAAGATCATTCTAAAACTTCTCAGGTCATGTACCAGTTAAAATTTTGGAATTGTTTAGTTTATGATTTTCGGTACTTCTGACAGCCCTAATCCACTCATTGCACATTTTTCTCTGCACCAAAAAGATCAGTCAAACTCTCCGCTCAATGCTCGCAGTTTGCCGCTTGCTTGTGCACTTTTACCCTATCACTGCATTGCTTTCCTAATTTTCTCCTCGCGGCGAATCATTAAACCCTAATCATTACAAAACAGCCATCTGCCCGCCTGCTAAGTCACTTTCTCAGGGCCGTCATGGTGGACCGGACTCATTCCTCTACCAGACCTCCAGCAAGCTTGACTTCTCTGCCCCAGTGCAGTCAGCTCACAGGAGGATAAACTGTGACATTTGGGGAGTCTTGCTGCAGCAGAAACAGGGAAAAACCATACCAAGCAAAGGGTCCGGGTGAGACTGCCACAGAGCCCAATGCGACGGAAATTAATCTCCCATTCAATCACTCTCCGATGTGGCGAGACATCGGACAAAGCGCCACCAAATATAGTCAGATTTGATGAGCTGCTGACCAATAGGCTGCACTCACTGACCGGCACAGACAAAAAGAGAGGGAGCAGGTCATGTGATGGGATAATCCACTAGCTCTATACACAATGGTTATGGTTTTGTTATGTAAGATTTGAGCAGTGAAATGGTTAAGTAACATGAGGTAGTGTGATTTATGACGGATTTGATAACATGTACTGTGATAGCAATAAAGTATGCAAAGGCTTTGTGAGATATCAGTACTGCAATATGTGATCAGTGTACAGTATCCTGGGATACGTTAATGTTACAGGGCTGTACAATTAATGAGAATAATTGTATACTAATTGACTATGAAAATAAAGATAATTGTTAATAGTTATCTGAAGTATACACTCGCTAAAACACATGACAAAAGATGTTTTATAACAAAAAGAGTGGTATTACTTCGTCAAAATTGCCAAAAATAAAATAACAATTTGTAATATTTTATCAATAATACATGTTAACTGTAAATATTCTCTATCTTAAAACCTGCTGTCATATTTTTACTTTTATTTGGTTAAAGATCATAATTATTTTCTTTCGAAAGTAGATGAAGATGAAAATGTCATATAAGTCTTCCATTCTCATATCTCAAATGCCACTAAAGATTGTTACTACAGCATAACTAGCAAAAAACTGATTTGATTTCAACCAATTTGTGATATTAAAATTATATTGAATTTCTGGATGCAGCGGCACAGTCTGTGTTGTAAACGTCAAAGATCTAATAACTCAGCGATATTCATGTTTTTGCTTTGTCAGATTGAGTCTGTTGGAAAAACAAAGATCTTTTGAATAAATAATGTTATTGCATAGCATGCCTTACTACTTACTGTTTTATGGACAGATTAGATTCCTTTATGATCAAAGGCAGTGTAAAAGCCAAACAGTATCCATATGTTAATTTAATAAGAAAATAAAAGGATTTAATCTGCACACTGGCTCATTTAATAACATTACATTCCTTATTACAGCACTAAATATGACAGAGATCAATGTTGAAAGAATCTTATCGTTGTAAACAGACTGCTGTGTTTTTATTTTTACAATATAGGTGCATGTCTGCATTAATTCTCTGCATACTTATGGCTATTATCCTTCACCAATGTTTACTTCTATTTTTATCACTGCTGAGCCTGTTGTGAAAAAGACAACAAACAACGCAGACAGCTAAGGCGACTCAGCACTGTGTCACTTTGAAGTGGGAGCACAGCTTTGTCCTTTGTGTTAAACATCTTATATCTCACCCTTTAACTGCAAAACTGTCCCATTGCGAACAGCAGGGACTGGGCTGAACAGCTCTCTGATTGTGATTGCCCCAGCCGACTTTGTCACTGAGGGTTAAGAAAGGACACATTCCCAAAGTTAAGCACGCAGAGGATGCACTGTGCACCATGCATCCCCTATGATATGTCGCTTTAGCTGTTTAACACATCGTTTTACTCCGCGCTGCAACGTGTGCTGACAATGAGTCTAGTGACACACACACACACACAGACAGACAGCAGCAGCCCGGACAGCACATGGATGAAAACAGACTCACCTTAGCAGAGACGTGGTCTGATATCCGCACACATCCAGCCGGGATCGCTGCTTGGCGGTCGGATGCGCGCTTGCCAGTGTTTATATGACCGCCTGTGCTGCTGCTGCTGGTGTTGCCATGGTTATTCCTCCAGACCCCGTGCGTTCTGCAGTGCCCCTCTCTCTGCCTCTCTCCATACACCGTCTATGGCGCTCTGTCCTTACGGGAATTTCAATTCGGGAAAGTGCAGCAGTCGAGCATGTGTCTCGGAATCTGGGGATGTGGTTCTCGCCGTCCGCTCTCTCTCGCGCACAGCCTGGAGCGCGCACACGTCCGCCCTGTGAATAGTTTCATTAGCGGAATATTAATAGTGAGCAGCAGTCCTGTGGCAGCTCCGTAGTGTGCGTCCAGCGCGAGGACTGACGTCACGCCACCCTTTAAGAGCTCATGTGAACCGTAATGGCGATTGGAGAATTAGCGAAAAGGACATTTAGAAAGTGAGAATAGTAAGATAGTTACAAACTAGAGTAATGACGTCTTGTAAATTGGCATTGGATTGACAGAGGTGGTCACTGGGTGGTAAGAAGATACAAAAGTAGACGTTCAGTAGGGATTAAACGTTAAAAAATAAAAATAAAATAAAAAGGTTACGTTAAAACTGAAAAGGGAAGAAAAAGCAAGGTGATGTTTATTACCATTACGCACCTGTTGCTGTGCGCCCCCTCTAGCATGACTGAACTAAGTCTGTAGTTTAGCACGTGGACTAATCTGAAAGTAACAAAGAAGACTGAAGACCTTCTAAAACTAAGTAAATAGCTATATTGAAATATTCAGAATGTATTTTTGTACTATGTATTTATAGGCCAATTTAACGACTTGAGATCAAATACTGATAATTCGAGATGTTGTCTGAGACTCTGTGGGAAGTTGCTAGCAGGATCCATAGCCTACACTTTCGCTTCCTATCAAATGCTGCGACTATACAGTCTATTTTTGTAACAGAAACGGTTTTGGAGCTTTGTTCCAGCCCAGGTCCAGTGTATTTGAAATCTAAAAGTGAAACCTAGAATAGAGTCAAGGTCGAGCCACATTACCATGATGATGAGCAGCGTCAGCCTGCCTTTAGCTGCACGGTTTCAGAAGGCCTCACATAAGCTCTTTGTGTTAGCCTTACTATTTCTTTTCTTCCTGTGTACTTTCAGAAACATCTTTCTTAATGAAACATAAACATGACCTATAAAAGGCTTTTGCTTAAATGTAGACTTAGCAGCTTTATGCAGCTCTAAAAAGTGAATAGTAATACTGCATTAATGCATAAGAAAATAGTTTGAGTATATTTGTGTAATTAATATGACTTTACATTATATGATAATATATTGAAATATTAAAATATAAATGTGCCCATAAATGATACAGCCTTTATAGTGATACACTGTCACAACGATTGCATAGTATGTGTCTGTCAGGTAGTGCAATTAAAACGCCACCTGTCCTGGTTAAACAACTCCTGACAGACTAATCACTTGTCAGATAAGAAGGAGGGGTTATGTAACCACACATTAATCAAAATGTCCATAAGCTGTGAGCTGTGGGGATAGGATACAGTTTGTTTCCATATTGCCATATAAGAAATGACATTTCTCTTATATGGTTCTTTTATGTCCTCAGAGAAAATCACTCTTTTCCTTCTCTGTTCCCTTATTCCCTTTCCTTTTTGTACTTGGCCAATCAAGTGCTGCTTTTCTCTTATGGCACTCTGCCATAAGCCACAAGCACTCTTGATTAAGAGAGGTAGTCTATTGATTTTTGTCTGTTGGCTGGGCCCAGATGATCGTCTCTAGATGAATAAACTGGCAGAAATGTCTCAAACAGGTTACACGGCAAGGACATCCGTTTTTACACTTTGGCTGATTGTTGGGGAGACTTCATAGTTGCAGGTGTGTATTGCAGTTTTAGTTGTCTTCTCTTGATAACACCGCACACAAACCGTTTGCAGCAGTAAAGCTCTGATGTTCAGCTCTTTGATTGTAGATGATTGCCACTGTGCTGGTCTTTGTGTCCAGCTCTGAGGTCCAGAGGTGTGCTGAGGAATCTGGCAGCAGGAGGTGTGGGACCCCATCAGTCAGACTCTTCTGTGGAAAAGGCATGGACACAGGGTTACTGCATGTACCCACTGGTATGTATTGGGCATTCAAATGTTTACAAATAGTAAATCATCTTAGTAGTTGAGTAAATTTGCTCATTCACTCATTTTTAAAGGTTTTTGGGAAAATAGAAAGAAAAAATAGCCTAAATCATGAAGAAGACTTTGGCAGTTTGTATTTTCTCTGCAGTAAAAGTCTTCTTTATCAGTTGAGGACAAAACTAATGACACCCACTGATGCAGCAGTGTCTGGAGAGTAGAAGAATGAGACAAAACTTCATTTGTGTCCAAAAAAAAACCTATGCTATTAAGCTGGAAAAATCATAACTCAAATTGAGTTGAGAGACAAAACGACATAAAATCCATACTAGCTACAATGCAAATAACTCATATTTCCTAGTTTGTTTAGTTTTTTTTTTCATTTATTCAAAGATTTATATTTTGTAGAAATAAACATGGTTCAATCTAAAGAATACATAACTTTTAAATATAGTTTTAGGCATATACCTCTCAGATAGACTATCAGTAATAGGCTAGCAGAGTGATACCATGCTGTTTGTGAATCTGTGATGAGATGGTTTAACTTGGTGCCTCGGGCACATTTGTGCTGCCTGGTCACATTTGTGCTGTCTGGTCACAAGTGCAGTAGTCATGGGGCTAGCTGCTCGCCTCAATAATCACAACGTGTTCTGCTGCTGTCTGTGCTCTGGCCTCTCATTCAAACCATGAGCTCTCAATTATCCCGAACAGACACATGATCTGTGCACACTCTCTGAGGAGGCCTGCTCACTGCATTAGGTTTCACTCACTGCTCTGTGGGACAAGAGCGCTGTACTACCATTAATACACAATCAATGGATGTAATACAATACAGCAACAGTGCTTCATTCATAACCTTTGTTCTACTGGCTGTAGTACATTAGATGGTAGTTAACTGTAACCTAATTCACACTACAATTCACACTACAATACAAATATTTAAAAAATGCTGTGTAACAGTGAGGAGCCAATCACAAAAAAAGACCTTGCCTTGATGAGATATATGAAATATATCATATCAAATATAATGTAATAGTTATTCTTCATTCAGGAAATAGTCATGGGTGGCACTAATAAGTTGACCCCTTCCAGGTGATTTGAGTAAATATGTATTTTACAGACTACAAAGTCATTTTCAGGCTACCTAGAGATATGGTAGGCTTGTTTGTGCACATGAACATTAAATACTTTACAGAAAGCAAACCTACTTTATATCATATTTTAGCAGAATTGCCAACCAGCTCAAGGTTAGTTTAGTAGCAGTCAAAATCACATGTTGAACCTCATAACTTTCTATTAGAGACTGGTACATCACGTTCTAGTCTCCATGGAAATGTTATTGCCTTGCCTTTGCTATATGTCATTAAACATCTCCTTGGAGACCAGTAGGTGACGTTACCTAGCCGAGTTAGTAGGTCAGATTTGTGGAGAGTCAATCCACTCACAGAAAGAATGCATGTTTCATAATGTATTTATTTAACTTTAAACCCCCTTTAATAAATACACACACATATATAATATATATATGTATATGTACATATATATATATATATATATATATATATATATATATATATATATATATATATATATATATATATATATATATATATATATATACATATATATGCAGACAAATGCAGAGAGAGAGCACCAGTACAAGTTGGGACACGACACTTCCATCCATAAAATAAAATGATCACATTCACATTCATCAACACATCAGATATGTAGATATGTTTCATGTAAGAGCAACAACTCCATGAAAATAAGCAGGTGGATTTTCCCCCATTAGAAAGGTCACATGTGTCTTTAACCTTGTGTCATGAAGTTCCTTCAAGTGAACCACCATAAACTAAGCAAGAATTCCCATTTTGCAGAAACATCAAACTCTGCTAGAATTTTTACCTGTTCTCCATATTAATATTAAAAACAATTGATGGCACATGAACCCAAACTATTGAGACATTATTAAGAGCTATAATCCAAAAAGTGTTAAAAGATGGAAAGGAAACCACTTATTACCCCTCTGGACAGTGGTACTTACCTTTTCTCAGATAAAAATGGTGTTTCCTCAAAAGCAGGTGTTGCAGGCAAAATTTGGCTTTAAAACAAACACACAAGAATAACATTTTAGACTTGGAGAGATGTGCACCCAGAGGCAAACCTGCTCCTGTCACATCCACACCTCCGCAAACATGGAGCTGACAAATCTTTTAGGGATAACTATCTAAAGAATTTCAGGAGCTTCTGATTTAAACTAATTCTCACTGTGGCTACATTTAAATACATGTTTGCCTACACACCATAAATCTCATAATTCTCTGGTTTCTGGAGTTATAACATTATTGAAATGTCATGTAAACAGTTACATCAGATGTGAGTAATATGATTTCTTTCTGCTTGACCTTGCATATTGCGCACCTTTGGCACAGCCACATGAAAAAAGAGTTTGAAAGTGGTCTAGAATGACTTTGTCAGTTGCGTGATGTCACGTTTAGTGCATTTATTTGTTTTTGTGTAGAGCAATGAATTTGTAGAATAAGATTTGTTTGTCCTGTTAGGAGCGCTGTCATATTCTTCTTGAAAATCTTCCTTTTAGAAACTATGAACCAGATATTCTGTGTTCTTAATAAAGATTGAATTTCTGATTTTGACAAGGAAAATTATTTAGAAAATGGCAAAAATCTAAGTGAAAGTGAAAATGTTAAGATTGAAAAAACAGGTATTTTAATATTTAGCTTTCTCTATTTTAATGATCACCTTTCTCTTCTTGATTATTCTAGATTTTTACTCAGATTTTCAGGTCTATGTACCCAGTTTTCTTGTTTATAGTGACAATCAGATTCATCAATGCCATTACATAACATGAGGATATATAAACAGCATGTGTTCAGTCCCTCCAGGTTGCTCAGGTAATGACAAGGCTTTGCACACATCAACTCCACAGGCTAACCCGGCTAACATGCACTCTGAAGTCTCACGTGATTATCGAATACACTTTTCATCACCAAACAAGCTACCTATTCTCCCTGTGCTGTGGATAATTATAAAGAGAATTACATACAGGCAGCACATGTCATTAGGAGGCACAGTAAAACAAAAAGCAGGAGAGGTGGGGGCCCGAAGGTGGGAGCCCACAGACTTCTTGCATGGTCTTGAAGTGTTGGTAGTAAAATATAGTCACCACCTCTTGAAGAACCAGGAGCCAATGAGAAAGCTTTGAATGAACTTTTATGTGGTCCCTGAAAGCGCTTGAGCATCTTGCATGCCACAGCTTTTTGTCAGTCCTCACCATGCGCAGGTAGGACCAGCTTCAAGGGGGACTGTGTGAACTGTGGCTGCATCTGCTCCATAATCGTATCCCACCCCGAGTGAGTGAGCCCTGGGTCCCATACGGAGGGGTGCAAACATGGCTTTCCACTGCTCACATCTGACCAGGTAATGAATAGTGTTGGATTTTAGCTTCCTTGGCAGGTGCACATAGAATAGACATGTAAGTTTCAGTAGAACATATAGTAGACCAATTGGCATATAGTGCTTTGCTCACAAATGGCGGTAGAAGGTGGAAGAAGCAGCCAAGTATTAATACCATAATACTGAAGGATATTCAAACACCGTGTATATCTTTGAGGCATGCCTTGGCTTACGTGAGACATTTTGGGTAGTGTATACAGTGGCAAATATCTTGACTTATCTTAAACATATAGAGACACTGAGTGGATTGGTGTTTCCTCAAGGTTCAAGAGCTACGACACATGTTGCATTATAGTTTAAAAAAATTTAAAAAATAACTAAAACATAAAAAATATCCTTAACCTTTGTCAAAGCTTTGGTCTTCATTTGAAACCACAAATGGATTTGACTGTGTGAATGGTTTGTTTGGGAAATCCCACTAAATGATGATGATTGCAATGATAAAAGTACATGACATAGGTTTTAATACCTCAGTGATTTATTGCTATCCTGGAGTTTAAGTGTTTTGGGAAATACCTTATGCTCTGATGCTGAATGAGTATGCAGTGAGATTATTTTTGAACTGTCACAGCATTAATAACAGTATTCAGGCTTGGCCTTTTAGTCAGAGGATTTATGGGCTGATATGCAACAGGTTACTGTAAATGTAGCACTTAGTTTTTCAGCACTGCGGTGCGCTGTTGGCCTGTTATTTGGAGCACAAAGCGTGGCATTAGCATAGCTGGGCTTTTTGATCTTTTGAATGTAACATATTCAATACAACATCAGAGATGACACAGTAGAGTAAAACAGTGAAGCTCTTGATTTGATCTATAAAGTACTGGTGCATTTGGGTGATGGTAGATGTGATGAACAGTGAACACTGAACTGGTCAAAGTTCTTCACGAGAAGGTCTGGTTCAACACTTTTTCAGGCTCATACTGTTGCTGTGTACTCATAAATAAAATGTCAAATATAAAGTAGAGCATTAAATTAAAACAGCAAAGAAGTTCCATCTTCTGGTTCCTCCTTGGTGGGTGTAAATTCACACCATCAAAGATTCAGAAAAAGTATGAAAATAGGACATGTTGTGTAAATACTTGAGCAAGTGGTAATTTCTGATGATGACTTCATTATACTGAGAGTCCCATGCTCTGGACCCAACCACCAGCCACTGCAGATGTGAAGAGGCTATAGAGAGAGGATGACAGAGAGGATGATGAACAAATTAAGCTAAACTGTTTACTTACTTTCAGGGGCCTATGCCCTTTTCAGGCATCTGCTTTCATAAACTAGTATAGGAGTTATTGCAGTGCTGCCTAAATAACTCAGATCAAACTTTACTTTGCCTTGACATGCAGTATTCAAGTCTGTGACCCTCACAGCTCAGTTCATCTTTACTTTGTGACAGCATCAATCAAACGGTGAAGATGGGCAGGCGTGCCGCAGACAGCATGTCCCTGCAGGGCTCTGTTCTTGAAGGACATAATGTTAGGGCTGTAGAAAGCCTCTTGACTTGGCTATTAGTCATTCCTTTTCTGTTCCTCTGTTTATACATAGAAAAGAGAGAAAGTACCAGCATCTTAAAGCCTTCTCTCAAGATGATCTGTTATTAGCTATTGACTGTTCACAAAAGCAGAAGTTTGGACATATTAGAACAATGAACCTATGTGAGAGGAAGACCTGTGGCAAGCAAAATTAAAATCCAGAAATTTACATTAATATTGTAACAATGGCAAACCAGGGCACATTAACAGAACAGGGAGTATAATAAAAAATGAAAATGAAAATAATAAAATAAAATAAAAAGCTTAATTTTAACATTTTTTTTTTATTCTCCGTGTACTCTAAATAAAAATAAGAATAGTTTAGCTAGCAGGCTTATAGACTAGGAATAAACCAGGACCAAGAAGAATGTGTGTGTGGATCTATAATAAAAACTTTTATTTTATTATAGTTCTGTGGCCATAAGTGAGGAGTGGATAAAATATTTAAATACTTAAGACCTTTTATACATGTTTTCTCCCTGTAAGATTTAAAGTAGGTTGTTTAGTTAACACCTGTTGACCATGAAACACTGAAACCTGTTTTGGGTAACCTAGCTTTAGTCTCATTGTTTACATGTTCTGTAGCTTGGCATTCTTAAATTTTCCTCTGTTCCATTCCTCCCAAGGACAAAATTCATCTCTGTCATGTATCTGATGATTTATTGATTTTGGCCACAAACCGTGTGATTGTTGACTCAAATATGTTTTTCATTCTCCCACAGAAATGACCAGATGTGCTACCTGCGTGTCTGCCTGGCTCTGCTGTCCCTCGTCCTCTCCCCAGCTCTTGGACGTAAGTTGATGCAGATTAAATATGGCGTGTCCAGTGAAGCCTGCTCCTGCCCGTTTTTTATTGTGACTCTATTTGTTCTGTAAATATGCTCTGTGGTCACATGGGTTCATATGGAAGCCTGCTTGTTGACTTTAGTTAGGTCAGGATTATTTTGGTGCAAAGCAATATCCTCTAAAACAGAGGCAACTCCATGCCTGTGTGCAGTGGCAAAAGAAAATTATTAGAAAATTATGTTTCACCTTTGTGTATTATTCATTTATTATTTTATAAACAGCAGCTGATAAATATGTTAGTGTATTCTCACTGACTTTTGGCACTATGCACTCTCCTTTTTAATTAATTAATTAATTTGTTTATTTATTTTTTGTGAAACAAGTAAGCATCCTGAGCGGGTTTCTTTCTCCACCAGCCTGACTCTAATTTAGCGTGGCAGAGAGCCTTCTCGTGCTTGTTTTCATGGTATAATTTTAACTTTCTATTCCCATACTGTACCTTTAAATTCCAGGAATTTTTCATCAATTGTGAAATAACATTAACACTACTATAGCTATTAGAGTTGGTCCAGTTTTTACTGAGCTGATATCTGATATTAATGTTGTTATGTTACATGTTAAGTTAAGAAATTATCTTTCACTTCTTACATATATATTATATTATTATATTTGAATGAAATCAAATTTACTTCATTTTGAATATCTGACCAATACCAGAAGGCCTACAGGAAGTGATATATCAGCCATCCCTAGTAGCGCCATAAACACAGTGGGCTCAGGTAGAAGCACAACAGGTAGTATATGTGCCTCACCCCTCACTGTCACACACGTGCCGCTACATGTGACATCTTAATAGTGGTTGCTCTTTCGTTCATTGCACTAATGAGTAGGGCTCAATGCGTAATGCTGCAGCAGGCATTAACTTTAACAACTTGGGGTCTGCGAGCACAGTCAGATAAGTGTTTAGTGGTAGTAAATATGGGATTATAAATACCGTCTCACCACTCGGGCTCATTTCTCAGCAGTAATGTGGCTTTGAGAAGGGCTTCCAGATGTGCCCCGTGTTAAAGAGCTGACTCAGGACAGAGTGGGGAGCCCTTGGGTGTCACCAGGCCTGTGTGATGCACTGAAGGCTTTTTCCATTTAGCTCTCCTCTGGAGCTGGGCAAGTGCACTGACCCCTCCTGACACAATGTGAACTGGTTTGGCTCAGGTTATTCTGTATGGGAGACATAGTTTAATTAAGTTGCAGTATTTTTGTATTATGTTATCTTTAAATTGGCAAGATTCACATTAATATACATCAGTTTACTGTTTCCTCCTTGCAACGTACTAGCCTGGAAATATGACTTTTTCCCAACCTTACATTGCACATTCACTTCACAGCTGACTACAACAAATAATCGACTAATGACTAGTTCAACTATCAAAAATAATTCTAGTTGTATTTTAATAATCATGATCATTATCTGCACTCTAAGACTCTTAAAACACATTTTTTAACAAAGACAGTATCATAAAGTCACATTGTTAAAAAAGAATAATAATTTGGAATTGCATCAATAATACACTATTCATAAATAGTCTATATTTAAAAGCCTTCAGTCACCATATTTCAACTTTACTTGGTTGAAAATGTATTTTAAAAGCCTCAGTGATCAATAGAAATAATTGTTTGAATAGTTGACTACTAAAATAATCATTAGAAAACCCTGTTTCACAATTTTTTAAATCAGTTTCCTTTATCAATTGTACTGTATGTGTACAGCATTGTTTTATTTCTTTGCTTTTTGTGCAACTTTCTTAACTGTATAAACCAGCTGGAGAGATTATGCAACATTACTTTTTTCCTTTTGAGTGATAATGAAATGCATACAACTCCCACTTGACAATGTGGGAAGCTATCTGCTGTTGATTAACAAAAGAAACTTCAGATCTTATGGATATGGTTTGCTATGGCTTTTTGTCTCACTAGATTTGCACCAAAGTAATAGATAGGACTCTGCTGCACTGACCTTCTCATGACTTATAGCCTTCATGAGTTTGGAGTCATGCAACATTAGGCACTGTATTAAAATGCATTACGCTTCCATCACTGTTGACATTTTTAGATCAAAACAACAAGTAGTATTTCTTGGCTTATCTTTTCTTTTTAAGGTCATATGTTACGCAAAATTGACTCTTGTGTGCTTTAAGCTGTTAGAACGTTATAGCCTCATCAGCATACCTGGAGTTGTGTTTTGTTTTATTCACACATGTTTAACTAACCCTACATTATTAGTGCACATCTCTTAAGTGCTCAAAATGCTCTGTTCCACATTGTGACATCATGAAGTGGTAGTTTTCAAGTTAACAGTGACCTTTTACCTTTTGTTTAGTAACGATAGTCATTTCCAGGGCTGAAATTATCCAAATGATTTTAGTGAAGGTGTATAGAGTTTAAAAACATTGTGGAGCACTTTCTGTGTTGCCACATGAAATCATAAGATATTTCAAAATGAGAGAAGAAGCCAGCCTAAATATGCAGAATTTGTGCAATGAACATGTGTGAATGAAACAAAACCCAACAAAAAATATTATTATTTTAAAATTAACTTGATGTATTTTAATTTTGATTTAACTGAATGTATTGCTGTTAGTTTTAGGTGACTGAAGACATTGCTTTTCTATTGTTATCTTACAGCCAATTCTAAAGAGCTTACTGCTTTATTCATTGCATTGTTTGTGTCTCACCAGAATTAGACCTTAACCGGCTTGATGGGGATACCGTCTGCCCACCAATCAGGAGCGGACAAGATGATCTTCCAGGTAAAGCTCGTGATTCTTCACAAAAAGCTAAAAAACACAGTAGTAAGCCACTCGCTAAAACCCTGAAGAGAAAATTGACCCAAGGGAGAACACTGAGTTTAATTAGTTAAACAGGGTGGGCTGCAGAATGCCTCGAGACACCTTAGCATTTCTAATGAGCCAAATAAAATGTTCCACTGGTACACACTAAGAGCACTTCAAACTCAGCAAGATTGTAATAGCTCTTGTTTACTCTAAGCCACACCTGCGTACATGGTGCTTCGCGGTTCAGTGGAGTGATGCCTGTTTTGTTGAGGTAGTTGTGAGGTAGTTCATTTCAGGTGGTATCCAACATAAATTTCCTTCTGTCTTGAATTAATTAGCCAGGGTTAAATTGGCTTCAGCAAAAACAACTGGCCGATTAACCCATTTGGTAGCCAGGTGCAAAAGGCCTGTTTATCATAGTGCGTCCCCTAGTGAGAAAAACGTGGCAAGTTAGAAAACTGTGCAAAAACACTAAAGTGCATATAAACAAAAATTGGCACAGAAACACTTATGCATGCAGCCTATTATTTTCTGTTCCTTCTTAAGAAACTATTCACTCTACATGACATTTTTAAGTATGCAGTATTTTGATCTTGGCGTACTTTTTGAGTTCTTCTCTTAGCTCTGGTGGTATATTGAACATGGCATTGGACTTGAAGCCCTGGTTTTAAATCTTGCTCATTGCTCTTGACTGTTTTAATGCCTAGCGTGCCTTGTTCCTCAAAGTTAACATCAGTTAATCTTAATTATACGAGCAGAGAATCTAACACCAAACTAAAGGCTCCAGTAGTCCAGGGTGTTCTGTCCAAGTGGTAATGTAGTGAAACAGCACATACCTTTGAATTCTGTCTTGACTCTGGCATTTTGAAATGGCCATTACAGTCACTTGGAATGATTTCAGCCATTACACTGTCAAGTTTTTATTACTTATCTTATTACTAATCACTCTTAAGCACACATGAATTGGTGTTTTCGTAGGTTTTGATTTGATCACACAGTTCCAGCTGGATGTCATTCCCCTGAAAGGTGTGAGGAAAGTGGACGGCTCCACTTCTCATCAGGTGGCCTATCGCCTGGACAGAGAGGCCAACTTCCAGATTCCAACCATGTAAGTATAGTCACAGTATACAACTATGTAAGTACAGCCAGAGCATACAACCATCTAAGGAGAGTCACAGCATACAACCATGTAAGTAGAGTCACAGCATACAACCATGTAAGTATAGTCAGAGTATACAACCATGTAAGTAGAGTCAGAATCTTTCCAACATGCACACATTCACAGAGCATCAGGAGGGCTCTGCACTGCAGGTGTGGCGTTATTACAAGTCGAGCACAGATGTTGCTGCACGGACCAGAACATGTAATTGTCAGAAAAACACATGTCTGAGCAAATTTGACATACTTGCTGAGGATTGCTGAGATTTTTTTTGGTTTGGTATTCGCTGTTTTATTTGTATCTCATTTTAAAATGTTTATAATGTGTGCAATGTTTTTGGCGGAGGGTTCGACACCTGTTTTTCGGCTTTGAGATGTTATAGTGGCGTCGGTGCTCACAGTAAGTGCATAGTGCACTAACTGTGCATAATGTATAATATTTTTTAGCAAAAAGAAACCTACAATTAAATTAAATGGAAAAAGTGGAGTGAAAAATAGTATAATGCTATACTGTGGAACATTCCCAGCAAATGTCTTTATGGTAACAAGCAGATGTTGCACCCTTCACCAGAAAAGTTACCTAGTATACTATGTAATTTTAAATAAAGAATTTAATAAATTTGTGTCATGAAAAATAAAGAAATATCAGCTAATGGTATTAGACTGAGCTCAAGTTGAGGGTCAAAAAATATGTTATCCTGCAAATGAAAAATAAACAGGCATTTTTGCAATTTTATAAATATGGGTTAGCGTGATGATGACACAACAATGTAATTAAAAGCTATTCAGAAACAAAATCTTTTCCACCGCTGAAAGCTTTTTTATATCAATAACTCAAGACTCATATGAGACTATGAATGAGATTTAATGCTCAGATTAACTCCTCATCTCCTGCACATCACCTCACACCCCTGGTCATTTACTCACTGGCTCACTTTTGACTTGTCTCACCCATGCTGTTACATAAGCCCCTGGCAGCACCAATATCACTGTGAATGTCCTCTGTCTACCTCGGGGCTCTAAACACCACATGCTTCACACTTTCTCACCTCCGGCCGAACCTCCAGAAAAGCTCCTCCATGGCTTTATTGGCCAACAGGAAACTTTTTCTTTATGGCTTCACCTTGATCGTTTACAAGACGGTAAAAGTCCGGCTGCAGCGCATATCTACGAAGGAGCCACCCGCTGAGATTGGGGCTTGTTAAAAGGCACATAGCATCAGACATGGAGTTTTAACCAGGGCGGACCAGGGGGGGTTGGAGGTTTGATGTAGTAGCCTATGTCTGTGTAAAGCAATAGTTACTTTTATCATTTTGTTGTTTTATAGAGCGCTTTGTGAATGACGCTTTTGAATGTATTTTCTACAATTGACATTTAAAGAAACTGTACTTAGTCTGCATTCTTACAGTTTTAAATAGGTACTACAAGGGTTGCCAGTACCTTAATCTGCAGATAAAGCAGGGCCGGGCAGTGAATCAAATTATTTTGATTAATTTGTGTTTTTAATAATTAAGTTTTTGTGCAGTTCAACAATTGTCATTGTAAAACACACTGTAACTGAATTTGTCTAAGCAAATTTAATTAAAGGCAGTTTTCAATTTGTAAAATGATAGAGCATGATAAGAATAAACATGTAAACTGCATCCCCCTGTTTGAAAGACTAGCATTCCATTCTTTGACTTCAAATGAAATAAATTAAAATCAATCATTTAAAATCCAGTGTGTGCCAAAAATGTATATTTTATTTTTTCACTGTAGCACTCAGTCCTACATACAAGATTTCAGCATATGGACAGCATATATTGCAGCTATAGAAGCAGCACTAACATTGATAAATGATGCCGGTGCTGAGGTTTAGGTAGTGTGAATTCAGATCAGAGAGAGTCCTTTTAGGTTTAAATCAACTGGATTTCAGCATGGAAACTGACAACACAAATAACAGACTCATATGATTCTCATTCTGCTTTGTCTGTGAATAGTCTTCCAATCCAAAACATCAAGTTATAACATAAACAACCTGGCCTTAATGTCCATGTTTTTAAGAACAAATCAGCAATGTTATTACTATTAATTTAGCCAACCTTTTATCTTTTTAACCAGCCTTTTTATCTAGGAATGCTCATGTCATGTGTTTATGAAATTTTAAGTCAAAATCTTACATACAGTTTTTTTGAAGCTCTTGTATCTTCTAACATTACAACGTGAAAATTAATTTGTGTACTTTTCTTTATACATGTTATTTTTAAAAGTTGACGACTGATATTGCTCATTTATATTGCAGAGGCAGAATTGTTTAATAGGTTTTAATCTTTTAAGCTGTTTGTCCTTGGCTGTGTGTGCAGAGCTGGATGTGATCTGTAATTCTGATGAGTGTATAACCTTGCAGCACATTATTGTTTCGGACGATAATACAAAATTCAAAATCAACATCCTAAAATACTTGCAGCTTTCACCAAGAGCTGAGGACACTTTCTGGACAATGAATGGAGGTTTTATAATTTTAGTATGGATGTTGAATGGATGTTTTTTTTGTAGATATCCATTGCATTGAATAACTAGAACTGAAATGTATACAAGACAGTTTTTAAAGGGTCCATATTACACTATTTTCTGATCTACGTAATAATGTTATTTCCAAATCATAAACACACCTGGAGTTCTGTTTTGTTTCATTCACACATGTTCAACACATTAACGCTGCATATTTAGGCCTAGTTCTTCTTTCAAAGAGAAGACACTTGTGATGTCATGTGGCAATACAGGAAATGCTCAACTGTGTTTTTCAACTCCACACATCTTCACTAGAATCATTTGGATAATTCAGCCCTGGATTGCCCATCTCCACTGAACTAAAGGTAAATAGCAGTTGTTAACTTGAAAACTATACCTCTTCATGACCTCTTCATAAGGTGGAATACAGCACTTCGAGCTTTCAAAATGGAGACAAACTAATAATAAAAGATTACTCAAACGTGTGAATGAAGCAAAACACATCCCCAGATACGTTTTTGAGGAGGTAACACCATAATAACATGGCTTAATTTTAAGACAATTTTGTGTAATATAGGACATTTAAAACAAAGGGAACATATAATCGCACTTTAAAACACATAGTCATTTTTATCATTCATCCTACATTGTGAAAAACTAAATGGCATACACATATGAGATGCTAACCATAAACAGTAGCCAGTAACTATTCTTTTATACAAATTTTTACTTATTCATTTTTACTGCCTTAAAGTTTGTATTCTATGTAGGCCTAAGATAATTAATTACTAGTATATATTGACATATTGTTCAGTAAATGAAAGATGTAATATTATATTTGGAGATCAATATTTATCATGTGTACTTTTTTCTTTGCACTGATTGTCTTCATTTTTTGTAATTCATTAATAATTGTGCTGTGTAACATTGAAAAATTAAAATCTACGTATCTCGAATGATACTAACCAACTACTTATGTTTAATGTGCTTTTTATTTATTGCAGTTCATGTTTTTATGCTATAATTCATTTGAAAAAGTTTCATTTAAAAACACACAATCACAGACTATAATGCACTTCAAAATTTGTTATTGTTATTATTATATTACTTTGTTTTTTTCACTATTTATGATATTGTTGCCTCCAGGCTGAACTTCCCCCGTGGTTTCCCTGACGAGTATTCCTTCATGGTGACGTTCCGTATGATCAAGAACACGGTGAACAAAGTGTGGAACGTGTGGCAGATTGTGGACGAGGATGGGTACAAGCAGGCAGGCATGCGTCTGAATGGCGACCAGCAGGCTCTGGAGTACTTCCTGATGGGTGCAGACGGGACCCTCCAGACCGTCACCTTCCCTGGGCTGTCGGTGCTCTTCAACACCCGCTGGCACAAGGTCATGATCGGGGTGGAACGTGACCAGGTTACCCTCTATGTGGACTGCCAGCCCGTGGACAGGAAGCCCATAAAAGGCAAGGGCCCCATCAACACAGAGGGGGACACTCTGATTGGACGGCTGGACTCAGATCCGGATGCTTCAGTAGTGGTAAGACTTTTATTAAGGTTAAAGTTTATTGAAGATTTCTTCTCAACTCAAAAACATGTATAATGATGGACAATTTGTCCCTAATCAAAAAAGTTATTTGACTACAGTCAGTACAGTATGGTTCTGATTTCTATATGAAGAGACAGAGAATTGGGATGTTATAAAAATATGATCTTAACTAATATTAGTTATTAGAATAATAACTAAGATAATCTGTAGCTCATCTCTAGCTAATCTAGCTCATGTCTTTTAATTATATTTATTTAAAATGTTGTAGCAGGTTGACAGATCACATGCTGTTATTTAGTAAATATGAATAACCTTTGGTTTGCTAATGTTTGGCATAAATATATAAATGTATAAAAAAGCCTAGCCTACAGTGTAGGATGTGATTAATAGCAGCTGTATTAAACCCAGTCTATGTTAAACCTGTACATACAAACATATAGGACTTTATGTGAGCACTGAGCTCTGCTATAATCCTAAAGGGCTGCTGCCACAGCAAAGCTGCTCGGCTGGGCTCCTGCAGAAAAATGTAATCCCTGCACATTGGTGGGAAAAAAATCAGGATCAACAAGGCACAGCCCCTGGTTCAACAGGGCCAGAAGAGCTTAACTGTAGCAATACACTCCTCATTTAAATATGGTGAATGTGCTGTATGTACAGTACACTAACACTGGCTTATCTTTGCAGTTCGAGCTGCAGTGGATGTTGATTCACTGTGATCCAAAGAGAGCCCAGAGAGAGAGCTGCAATGAGCTACCTGCCACCGAGGTACAGGCTGCGGCTGTTTGTGCTTTCTGTTGGACAATATATGCACCATGAGTGAGGTTATATGAGCAGAGGAAAGAAATTAAGGATTTTTGCTTTGTTGAATGTTTATCCAAAATGTCAGGACATTCCCTAACACCAAAAACACAACGTAAACAATTCTTGGAGGTGATTCTGTCAGACATGATCTCATGACTATTTTGCAGCACAGTTTATGAGGGAAAGCATGATTGTTAGCTAATTGGCATTCCTGACAAACAAAAAGGGAATGTGCTGAAATGACAGCCAAACCCACACATTAGGAGAGGGATGGGCAGTGTAGGCTTTGATTTGTGTTAAACCAATAAAACAGGTGTGCCTCTAGTGGCCATAAGATGGAATGACATTAGTACATTAATCCCAAATAATAATAAATGTCAGTTACTGTGCATTATGTTTGTGCTATTGGCCAGTGTTCTTCTTTATTGGATTTGTTTCTAAGATTTTAGAAAGGTAATTTAATTTGATTGAGCTTTTGTTTGCAATTTGAAACAGTAATAAGTAGTCACCAGAGCAGGAGTTCTATGATGTATTTTTCCACATGATAAAGAGTATTCCCAGCTGTTGTAGATCCTTGCTGGCCTGGTGCATTCTATCAGATCTCAGGCTAACACTGCATCCCCCTGCAGTGGGACCAGTGACAGCATGATGCTCACTGGAGCACCCATGGAACCTGAGCACCCTGCGTTCTCTTCTGACTATGGTGAAGGTGGTGTGGGGACTGTCACTAACTCTTCTCTTCTCATTTCTCCTGCTTCTGCAGATGTTTGCCAATGCTGAGGTATTTACACTGTTTATGCTTTGACATTTAAAACAATAATCTACTCAAGTGCACACTTGGCCTCATTTCTCTATGCTTTATGCTAATGCTAATGTTGGTTATGATTTGACCTGCATGGTCAATAATATGGTCACTATAAACATTGGCACTTTAATCTGATTTGAATATGTATTCATATGCTTTACTTAAGTAGTAACATGCTGCAAAAGAAAAGTGGATTGCAACTAAACTCACACAATATGGTCAATATTTTAGAAAAATATTTGCTTACTTCTCCTTTCTTCTCTCAGCCTGACAAATCAATGCAAGGTCCACCTGGTGTGCCTGGCCCTGAGGGACCCCGGGGGCCCGCTGGAGAGGACGGCAGGGATGGAAGAGATGTAAGGGATGACTTTATATACAACTTTTCAATGTGAAGATTGTGAAATAGCATTAACTTAACTGGTCTGTTGTTTTTCAGGGTCTTCCAGGTTCTACTGGCACCCCAGGGTCACCTGTGAGTACAATGCTACAGTGCAGGTTTACCTACTAAGACAAAGAATAAGTAATAATGTTCCTCACATGATGTAACAATTTTATGCATAGAATAACAGACACATCATCTCGATTGTGGTGGCTAGTGATTGTCATTAATAATTTAATCTCTAAACATAATGCTCTTTTAGTAGCAAAAGTCTGTAAAACAAAGGCCTCTTATCTGCATAGCCTTCTTGTTGTGTCAGTAGCTGTAGTTGTTCTCTGGTCACTGAATAATGTTGACTGTCACCCCCTCTGTGTATCTTAGCAACAGTACAAGGCGATGCAAGAAGCAGATAAAGCGCTGTGATCCATGTTGTGTCTGTTTCTCAGGGCACCAAAGGGGAGAAGGGTGAAATCGGACTGCCAGGACAGAGAGGTCTCCCTGGCCTCCCAGGACCTATTGTAAGACTCACTCACTGAGCACACAGAGCCAAGGGCACCTGTTGCACCTGTTGCAACTGTCGCACCTGTCACATATAACACATAACACAAGAGCACCTGACCTGTTACACATAACATAAGAGCACCTGTCACGCATAACATAAGAGCACCTGTCACGCATAACATAAGAGCACCTGTCACGCATAACACAAGAGCACCTGTCACGCATAACACAAGAGCACCTGTCACGCATAACACAAGAGCACCTGTCACGTATAATACAAGAGCACCTGTCACACATAACACAAGAGCACCTGTCACGCATAACATAAGAGCACCTGTCACACATAACACAAGAGCACCTGTCACGCATAACATAAGAGCACCTGTCACGCATAACACAAGAGCACCTGTCACGCATAACACAAGAGCACCTGTCACGTATAATACAAGAGCACCTGTCACACATAACACAAGAGCACCTGTCACGCATAACATAAGAGCACCTGTCACACATAACACAAGAGCACCTGTCACACATAACACAAGAGCACCTGTCACGCATAACACAAGAGCACCTGTCACGTATAAACAAGAGCACCTGTCACACATAACACAAGAGCACCTGTCACGCATAACACAAGAGCACCTGTCACGCATAACAAGAGCACTGTATAATACAAGAGCACCTGTCACACATAACACAAGAGCACCTGTCACGCATAACATAAGAGCACCTGTCACACATAACACAAGAGCACCTGTCACACATAACACAAGAGCACCTGTCACGCATAACACAAGAGCACCTGTCACGCATAACACAAGAGCACCTGTCACACATAACACAAGAGCACCTGTCACGCATAACACAAGAGCACCTGTCACGTATAATACAAGAGCACCTGTCACACATAACACAAGAGCACCTGTCACGCATAACACAAGAGCACCTGTCACGCATAACACAAGAGCACCTGTCACGTATAATACAAGAGCACCTGTCACACATAACACAAGAGCACCTGTCACGCATAACACAAGAGCACCTGTCACACATAACACAAGAGCACCTGTCACACATAACACAAGAGCACCTGTCACGCATAACACAAGAGCACCTGTCACGTATAATACAAGAGCACCTGTCACACATAACACAAGAGCACCTGTCACGCATAACACAAGAGCACCTGTCACACAGAGCACCTGTCACACATAACACAAGAGCACCTGTCACGCATAACACAAGAGCACCTGTCACGTATAATACAAGAGCACCTGTCACACATAACACAAGAGCACCTGTCACGCATAACACAAGAGCACCTGTCACGCATAACACAAGAGCACCTGTCACGTATAATACAAGAGCACCTGTCACGCATAACACAAGAGCACCTGTCACGCATAACACAAGAGCACCTGTCACGCATAACACAAGAGCACCTGTCACGTATAACACAAGAGCACCTGTCACGCATAACACAAGAGCACCTGTCACGCATAACACAAGAGCACCTGTCACGCATAATACAAGAGCACCTGTCACACATAACACAAGAGCACCTGTCACGCATAACACAAGAGCACCTGTCACGCATAACACAAGAGCACCTGTCACGCATAACACAAGAGCACCTGTCACACATAACACAAGAGCACCTGTCACACATAACACAAGAGCACCTGTCACAATCTGTATTGTCCTAATGCCATGGCTTAAAAACAGCACAGCAATTTCAGTAATTAACAGCGTAATTTCTTTTAAGGATGGCTCATATCCAGGGGTTGGTATCAGGTGCTTGACAAATCATTTTAAGCATGGCAGATAGTCATGGAACAATGGCAATTTAGCATTATTACAGAATGAATACCTAAAATACGTATTTGCAAAGTACTGAAAATGTGTATTAAAAGTCACTTTATGCATAGATCTGTATGTTTTTTATCACGAAAACACTGTATTAAGCTTCTGTTTATGTATATTAAATAGTTTGTTGTTTTAAACACTAGCTAAACTATTTACTACAGTTAATATTTATCTATATTTTTTACAGGGATCTCCAGGTCCAATGGGTCCCAGAGGGCCAGTCGGTGAGAGAGTAAGTCAGTCACCCCTAACCCCTAATATTCAGCAAAGCAGAAGCAGCAGAAGTGTTTGGGTTACGTGAATGGACTGATTTTAGATCCAGTCAGTAAAGAATCAAAACAATCATGTAATCATGTAATCATGTATTGGTCCATACTTTTCACACATACGATTAAAATGATTTGTTGCTTCCGTATGGTCATGGTATTCATTGAAGATGTAATGTTGATTATATTATACCATAAGGAGACAATACAGTTGCTTATATCTGTTTTCCTGATTTCTTAGGGTCTTCCTGGTTTCCCTGGACCACCAGGCCCTCCAGTAAGTGCACGCATATCCACATGAAACTCTGAAACAATGATGTATGATCCAATAAAAAGATCAATGTTGTGTCATTGCAGGGCCCAGCCACTGAAGGAGCCCCCGTGAGTGTTTGATTGCACTACTTCTACATTAGGTCTAATTTGTAGTGTTCCTCTTGTTGTTTTGGACTCTAAAGAACTTGTGTTTATGTGACCACTAGGGAGCACCAGGCAAACCTGGCACCCCCGGAGATGAAGGAAACATTGGACCAGAGGTGTGTGCACTGTTGCGTGGTGTACCTTTTTACGTGATAGTTTTATTTATGATGTAAATTTGATGGACAGGGTCCTCCTGGGCCAAGAGGGACTGCTGGAGCAGCTGGACCTCCAGGGCCTCCAGGTCCACCAGGGCCTGCGGTAAGAAACAAACTAACCTAATTTACATCACTATTATCTTGTGGGTGTTTCCTTGTGGCTTGTTTAACACAGCACAGAAGCCCATGAAGTATTTTAACTGCATCTTCTACGTCCAAACTCTTGATCTCCAAAATGACTTTTTCATGACTATCTTCATCCATGGTTGGTGTGACCTGAGGTGATAGAACATCTAAAGCCTGTTTTAGATGTCTGTGTGCTGTGTTCTAGGGCCCTCCTGGTGCTGCTCCTGAGGGAAGTGGGGAACCTGTGAGTTTTCTTTTGTTCTGTGATATTTCTGGATCAGGGACTTTAGAACCGGCATGCCATGACCCCGTGTCCCTTCTCCTTAGAGCAGTTTTTAAATACAGCTGCAAGATATTTTACATCAAATTAAAATCACTATTTCAATGGTCACAATTAGCAAATCACAAAGACAGAGATCATTTAGTGACATAATTTCCTCTGCAAACAAATGATCCTCCCTAATGTAAAAAAAACCTGCTAACCCTTTAATTTAGATTTTACAACCATTGGAGCCTTCTCTCAAATGACTTTCAAATGTGAACTTTGAACAGAATCCTGCTATTAAAACATAAATTGCAAAGTGAGTTGTACAGAATGTTGGTCAGAAATATCATATCAACCAATATCAATATAATGTTGTTATATTTTAAAGTGTGTCTGCAGATATACTTTGTCTCATCAGTCTGTGTGTTACAGTGTCCTGCCAAATGCCCTGCCGGACCACAGGGACTGCCTGGGCTTCCAGGGATGAAGGTAATACGTTTGGCAAGCCCATACCAATAAGTGTACCTTTGTGCATATGCATACTTATTTATTGATAAGATGGTGAACTAAATGATGCATGAATCATTAACATCAAAGTGACAAATTGTCAATTTTGCATAATGTGTCCTCATTTTTCATTTGTCTGTCATTGTTTATTATTTCTTGTAAATTTTTATGATTTTTAGGGACACAAAGGTACCGCTGGTGAACCGGGAGTTAACGGCATCCCTGGAGAGAAGGTACAACTACCATTATAGAATCTGAAAGTCAGTTATTTTTGACTTCTTAAAAATTTATTATTGTCAGAGTAAACATAATGCATTTTTTCGTCTCTAGCTCTTGTTGTGTGAATTTTGTAAGGAGAGCAAATAAGTCAGAGCAGTGATTGTGCAGAGTCTGATATGATTAGGCTCATTATTTCATTTGCTGATGTTGTTTTTCCACAGGGAGATGTTGGAGCAGATGGTCCTCCGGGGCCGCCTGGGCGCATGGGGGACGATGTAAGGGCCACAGCTGCACATGCACGCACGCACGCACACACACACATACATCTATTCACCATTATCTTTGTGTATATGTAATCTACTAAACATATTAGTATAGAGAAATAGTCAAAAGTCACAGATTATAAAGATGATTTCTGGGTTAGTTTTTGTATTAAATATGTAAATAATGTAGAAATAACCTATCATAACATAGGATTACCAGTGTGTATCTCTCACTAACTGCTGATCTTATCTTAGCCTAGCCTAGCTTCTTGCTTTCTTTCTGTCACAGTTATAACTATGGATCCATGCTTATACCCTTGTTAGCTTTAAACAGCTGCAATGTCTTTTTAACATGAGATGTGGAGTAACTAAAATAAATATGAAACATATAACAGTAATAGTAATGACAAAAAAAATCTTGAGCATATGGTTGTAAGAAATTGGTGTTATAAATGTGTAACTGCAGAATGTTTGGAGAATTCTCTATTTGCTTTAGCTTTTAACAAAACATGTGCACACTCAATCTCTAGTCCACAAAGACAAAGGGATGTTCAATATTATCTATTATATAGATATTACTATCTATATCTGTATAGATTAGACTAAAATGCTCAGTGACTCTTTGGGTTGTTTTTTTTTATTTAGGATACACATTTTTTAAATATATGTTTGGATAATTTAATTAATTTGCTCTTGTTTTGTAGGGTGTAAGAGGGCCTATTGGGTTCCCTGGAACCCCTGGAGAAAAAGGAGATAAAGTAAGTTCAAAATATTACTGCATTTTTTCCTCAAGTCACATTATCATAAAAAAAATAAAGTATTGACATGGATAATTGTCTGCAGGGTCCACCTGGTTTCAATGGTGTCCCAGGACCCACAGGCCCACCTGGAGCTCCGGTGAGTAGTGTCACCCCTCCAGACTTAGTTGTTTATGGTCTTTTGTTTTGACTGAACTGAAAGCGGCTGTGTGATGGATAAGCAGCTGTCTGGGTGTAGCTCTAATGAGATTTCTTCTCTCAGGGAGTGGAGGGAATCCGCGGACGTCCAGGGCCAGAGGGACCCAAGGGTGAAGAAGTGAGTTACCCCCTCACATAATATATTGCAAAAGCCTTTTAGAAGCCATTTTCACATCCTCTTTTTGTTTTTACCAGGGCCCAGTGGGACCTCAGGGAGAGAAGGGACCACAAGGAGAGAAAGGAGAATCTGTATGTTACTCTGAGTTGCTTCTCGTACTGTTTCCTTCAAACTGCCCTTTGGTCTGTCTAACTGTGTGACGTAAACCACAGGGAGTGCCAGGCACAGATGGCTTAGATGGACTTCCTGGAGTGGACGGAGCTAAGGTACTTTTGTGCAAATTATAATTTTGCATTGTGAAAGGCACTGTCTTAAAAAAGTGAGAGCATTGCAGTGGTTCAGAGTTATCTTTCACTTACCATATGCATTCAGACAATTTTAAGTTTTCACTTTTCACAAGTCACACTTATTATTATTTTATAATGAAACCCTTTATAATTAGATGCAGACAGCACACAGCAGACTTATTTTGACCTCTTATACAATAAATCAGTCCTCGCACAAAATGGGACACATTTTGCTCAAGCACATGGAAAAAAAAACTGAAATAAAGCCTTTAACACGGGTTTAACAATTCAAATCACATCTTTCTATTAATTAATTTATTTATTTATTTATTTTTTAAGTAAATAGTCTAAAGTGCTTCAGCAAGTACATAAGAAAAACAGCAGTTGTTGAAGAGTATATGATTTCCATTATTTATTTAATTGGCAGACTGCTCTAAAATAGAAATGCTTTGGCGCTGGTTGGTGCTCTTCCATTTAATCCTGGCTTGCTTCACTATTACAGACACACCATATTTCATAATGTAAAGAAATTGAATCTTATATTTATGAATTCCTTCAAGTTCTGTTTCAGTATTAAATAAATGGTTTGTTTCATGGTTAGGGAGAGCCTGGTACTCCTGGAGCTGTTGGTATCAGAGGGATTGTGGGTATTCCAGTAAGTACATATGATATTGTGTGTTTTTTTTGAAATGCTGACATATTATTGTAGCTACAATATTAAATGGGGCTAATGTGGTTGTTCCAAGGGACTGCCAGGGAAACAGGGTGTGATGGGACCCCCTGGTGAAAAGGTAAGTGTAAGTATTCATTGAACTTTGTGCACCAGACATGTTTAAGGACTAAATCCTGCTGTGGTTCAGGGCGACACTGGGGACGTGGGACCAATCGGACCTGTGGGACTCCCAGGCAAAACTGTAAGAATCATCTAAAAAAGTTTGTTTTTGAGTCAAGTATCGTATCTTATGTTACAAGTTACGGTGTACTTCAAACAGGGAGAGGATGGAGACCCTGGAGAGGATGGTAAACCTGGAGAAAAAGGAGCAACAGTGAGTAGACAGATCGACTCCCGACAGCTCCTCAACTGTTTGAGAAGAGTTCTAAACCTTTCCTATTTCCTTTTCAATCTCTCAGGGAGAAACTGGGAAGCAAGGGCCAGTGGGGCCAGCAGGACCTCCAGGAATCCAGGTCATTTAGTCTTACACTTAATTCTCTTACTATTTCTTAATTTGACATTTATATTTGCTGACGTTTTTTCAGACTGTTGAAGAATGTTTATTTTAGGAACCACAACCAGTCAAATCAATCAAACTTTGCAGAAGTAGTGCAATCATACATTTAGTATTAATATTCACATATATTTACATAATAGAGTATATAGATATACAAACTAAATGTACTCTGTATAGAGTAGTGTTGAAATGACTAATGTCATTCACCTGTCTTTGCAGGGCGATAAAGGAGAAAAAGGTGACGCTGGGGAGAAGGGACTTAAAGGACATACTGGACTCAAAGGTGATATGGTAAGAAATGTCTTTATTTGTTTGTTTATTCATATTTTGGAATCATTCTGAAGAAATGCACATGCGTCTGTGCAGGGACCAGTCGGACCAGTGGGGCCTAAAGGAAGTATGGTAAGAACACAAAGTAATGTCAGTGTCTGTGTCATACCAACAGTTTAAACTGCAATGTTCAAAAGTGTTATAATGTTGACAGGGTGACACAGGTGTCCCTGGGGATTCCGGAGTAAAAGGAGATCAGGTAAGTTACACCTGTGGTCAGACATTTCTTACCTTTTAGGTCACAAACTGTCAGAAGATTTTATTGATCCAGTCTGTGTTGTAGGGGCCTCCTGGAGTGACTGGACTCAAGGGAGAGGTACCTGCAGTTTGCATTGTAAAGAAATAAGAGTAAATACAACACTAAATATTAATGTTCGTTCCCTTCAGCGTGGAGAGAAAGGAGCAAGAGGAGCCACAGGAGCAGAGGGCAGGCCAGGACAGCCAGGACACGAGGGTCTGTCTGGACCAATGGGAGCTCGAGGCTTAGAGGGAGAGCCAGGAGTACCTGGACCCCCAGGTCCCAGGGGACTACCTGTAAGCCTTAATGTTGTTATCTATTCACTTGTATTTAAGTATAACCAAGCCTGGATGAATGAGGAGATGCTTTGGGGTGTGTGTGATCTAATAATCTGCCCAATTACTTTTCTACAATGCAAAAATGACTTCCTTCTAGTAAAAGCATCCTGTGATACTAAACGTGATTTATAATCCTGAATCCTGTAATCCTAGGTTGTGGACGAACTAGGATTTTGCACAGCTTCCCAGTATGTTATCAGCTGTCTGCAGATGCTGCACATTCAATTCATATTCAAACAAAAGACTGAGCACAGAGGAAATCACATCTGAGTTACTGCATATCTACATAATTAACAGCAAACTGTTTCTACTGCTCCAGTTCTTGTATGGATGTGAATGTGGAGTGTTGGTATAGTGTTGAGTACTGGTTTATTTTACTGTAATAGAAATGTTATCCATCTAGGGTCCAAAAGTCAGTGATGAGAAGCTCAAAGAAATGTGTGCTGCTGTTGTTGAAGGTACACTCACTCAAATGCATGATTTTTTTTTCTGTTTTCAAAAACTGGCCAAAGTCTATTGTTCATTTCTTTGGCCTTTTCTAGAACAACTGTCAGAGTTTAGGAAAGAGCTGCTGAAGAAGCCTGCAGCTCTTGGCGCACCTGGTAGCCCTGGACCAGCAGGCCCTCCTGGGTCCCCAGGACCAGCTGGAGCTGCAGGTGCAGCTGGAACCCCAGGGCCGATGGGTCCTAAAGGTCCTCCTGGCTTCTTTGGTCTTCCAGGAGCTCCAGGTAAAAAAGGTCAGTACAACTATTACTGTGCCCACATCAGATCTCATCTATAAACCGAGCTGCAGTGACAGTGTTTGGGCTCGTGTCCCTGGAGCGTCTCCAGATCTGCGACGCTGCAAAGAGGAGAGATTAAACAAAGCCGTAGGGGCTGGCAGCATGCCTCTGTCTTCTTCCCTGTGTGAGAAAGGCCCTACTGAGTTGTACATTACACAATCACTGATCCACTAAACGCAATCACAATAGACTCATTAAGCCTACTAATTACACTCTCATCATTCAGAGTCCACTGCCACTTAATTCTCTCCTTCACAGGTGACACTGGAGACAAGGGAGACAAGGGAGACAGAGGAGAGGATGGGGTTGGAATTAAAGGAAGCCCAGGTGAACCAGGAGCCCCAGGTATGATATAGGTCATCAGGAAAAAAAAATGTGAATCTTGTGTCAGCTGAATAAACTACTACTGTTTAGACATTTGGCCATGTCTGTTTCTAACAGTCCTCTTTATATGGTTTTGCCCAGGTGCTCCAGGTGCTCCAGGCGTCGGTAAAGATGGTAAAAATGGAGAGCGTGGTGAGACAGGAAGTCCTGGTGTCCCGGGAGTATCAGGTCCCAGAGGCCCCTCTGGCCCCCCTGGCCTCTGTGACCCCTCCACCTGTATAGCCAGAATCCCTCCTCTGTACATGGTTAGTGGAAAGAAGGCTGCTAGCTACAAAAGCAGAAAGTGACCCGACAGATCTGTTCAGTAACTTCAAACCATCCATTTGAGGACATCTCTGGAAGTCCTCCACTGTCTCCACTGGAATCGCACATGGAAACACATGGAGACACGGCACAATTGTACAAACTTGTATAGACTTTTACTGTTTATCTGATCGCGTGTGCTCAAAAAACAGCTGCTACTGGTACCCAAATCTTTACAGTCGACAACAGGCCCATGAGAAACAATGGCCTTACAATGTAATAGAACCATACAAAGGTTTCTTAAATGTTCACAACATTATAACCCAATGACGCTACGTTGCATGAATGAGCCAGCTTAAGTAGCCATGGTTTCGTTTTAAAGGTCCATCAACAACTGCTTTTCAATTTCATCAGTACTTGTTTGAGTGTTAAATATTATATACCAACTTGTTCAAACTATGCAACAAAGTGTTTACAGAAAAGGACAGTTTCATGATCAATAAAAACAGCCAGTTCAGTTTTAAAAAGCTGTGAAAGTGACTTGTGGTGCTATTTGTCATAAAATGATCGTATTATTTGTATCCTTAAAGACATTTCACTGTTGCCTGGATACAAAGCAGCAGTGTCAACATGATCCAGTAGCACAGATACATTGGCAGATCAGAGGTGACCTTTACCAAGCAGCTGGAAGGAGCAGCAGCAGCCCACAGAGCACAGCTTTGATTCAACAGAACCTTCCAGCTCTTTGTCAACTGCCCAAGGCTCAATCTCTTAAAATAATTTGAGTGATAACATGATTTTACAAAGGCTGTAGCCGATTTGTTCCTTTGGAAACGTGGGTGGTTTTGGCAATTTTCTGACAATATCCACCATATGCAATATTACAGAAGCAACAGACAAAAAAATTTGATCTATGTTATAATGTTGTTTCCTCATCACAAACAGACCTGGAGTAGTGTTTTGTTTCACTGTTTAGCACACGCACCCTGCATATTTAGGCTGAGTTCTTCTGTCAAACTGAAAACACCTTGTGATGTCATGTGGTAATAAAGGAAGTGCTCCACTGTGTTTTTGAACTCCATACACTTTCAGTAGAATCATTGGGACAGTTTCAGCCCTGGAATGGTCTATCTCTAATGAACTAAAGATAAAAGAAAGGTTTTAATATCGCTTTAAGGTGGAACAGAGCATTTTCAGCTTTACATGTACTCAGACTAAAAATGCAGGATTACTCAAACGAGTAATGAAACAAAACACAAATGTAAGGTAAGATAAGGTAACAATGTTCTAACATAACTTAAAGTTCACAAGAATCCATTTTGTATAATATAGGACCTTTAGAGTTAAAACCAAATATAATCTATAATAATAATATTTGGTCTAATGTAATATAATTTGTGGTACTTTTGAATATTGCGTGTAACCATTGGCTAAATAGATTTTTATTACTGCAAAAAGGAATATACCTATCATAAAAATCGACAGATTTTACTGATGTTACTGAAATCCCATGGTGTCACCAGTACACATACTCCAGATATATTTTCAAATAAATTTTTATGAAAATTATAAATATCACATCGCACTCAAGAACCTATTATAAAATTAATCTGTCCCAATCTTTATTATACATTTTACAGTACATGTGTCTTTTCAATACTTACATTTTTACTATGATCATACAATAGCACCAATTTGATTCAGGAACACTGAAAAGAAAACCTGTTGTTAAAAAACTTTAATGGGGGCATTCATGAATAATTTATCAGTATAACTTACCAAACATTCAAACAACCACAATATATATATTGCAAATAATAAACGTAATATGACAAGACTGAAACTGAGTACTGTGCAATTAAAGGGGTTTGGAAGTGTTGTCTTATGGTAAGTATTTATAAGAAACTAAATGGTTAAAATGAATACATAGTAAGTAGTAGAGTCAACATGAATGGAATTATGACAAACTAGAAATGTTGCAAGGCTTCCAGGCTTAAAATAGCAAAAGCATAACCTAACCTAACCCATGCTAATAGTGCCAACAAGCTAACAAAATCAAATAAATTAGCCTAAAAACAACAAATTGACAACTAGTGGGTGGAAATGAATTCAGCTTCCTATAATTAAATACTTTGTAACTTTGAAAATATCAAGTTTTGCGTCCATTATTGAACTTTTTAGTGGGAATCTGACCCAGTGGTGGGAATCTAGTGGCCTATTCATAGACCCTAACCCTCTTTACATCATCTACAGTAGCCCTAGAGGGTCATAACATAGTATAGAGATACTGAAATATCTCTATACTATGCTACATCATTTGGTGATACAGTATTGTTATCGTGAGCTGCTGCATCGATATATCGCCATGAGTATTTTTGGGTAGCTTTATTTTACATGACAATTTTGTTGCTTATTTAGTGGAATGACATTTGATTATACGACACACTTGACATATTCAGTTTTAATGATTAAAATAGATGTCTTTCATATTAACTTTGCACAACTAGAAGTTTAACAAAGAGATTTGGCTACTAAAATGTAAGAGCAACATGTCACAGATTATCATGTGCAATATCAATTATCTCATGTATCACCATATCGTGATAATATTGAGTCATTAGCCATGTGTCATGTATCGTGATTCCCAGCCCCAGTCATGACTTTTTCTTTGTCTGAAAACTTAGAAAACAGAACCTGAATCAAAAAAAAAATCTACTCAGAATTTTAGTGAGTGGAGCTTTATTAATTATCCTTCCATAATAAAACTAGACCGTGTTTTGACGATTAGCCTTAAAATGGAGGTCATCCGGAGGTGTCGTGACAAGCCCGCATAACATCTCAATTACTCCCGTGGTGCGAACTGGCAATTTCCACTTAAAAACCATTTCTTGAAAAATCGCTGCTCTGCTTTCCTCCAGCAAGTATCGACGTGTTTCTTTATATTTTTGAAAGGAAGACGAATGTGAATGCTTTTCTGGAGACCATTTAAAAGGTGCTAGCGGCGCGCAGATCAGACCGGGACTGTTTTAATTGGCCTATGAGGAGCAAAAGGCAAATGCGTCTCTCAAATACAACGGATTGGTCATCACTATGCAGGACAGCGGCTTTCCAATAGTGGGTTCCAGGGGACATATAAGAAAGGCAAAGTGTTTTCAGAGCAGGGCTGAAGCATTGCGGGCCCTTAACACGCCTCTTGGTGCACAATGGGAGCCACACAGTGAAAGAGAGACTGTGGAGTTGCTTTTGTGAAAGGGGTGAAGCCAGCCTGCAATTAACCCACCTTCTCTGAGCTGCTCACTGCTGCCCAAGTCTATGCACAGTTCACAGGCCCAGCAGTCACACTTCATTAAACCAAGTGCAATTCAGGCTGATGTCTCCTCTTCTAGATGTATGTTGTCAGACCAGACACTCTAAGAGGTATAAAATTACCCATTATGAATCTCCTTTAAAGGTGCACCTGTTTGTCTCCATGGAGATGTTATTACTTTGCTTTGTAATACTATGTATTACATAGTATTGCATTAAATGTATATCTCTTCCATAGATTCAATTACAGATGTTTCCATTTGTCAAAAAAAAAAAAAAAACTCCACAGATTTGACCTTCAAGTTAATCTGACTGATGGAGTTACTTTTCTTTTTATCGATGAAAAAGTAGTGAACAGGGTTACCTCTGCACTGATCGGACCTGCACCTTGGTGGCTTCGCCTGCTTGTATTCATGGAAATACACAAATACATTCTAGGGAAAGCATTAACATCACCATGGAAACAAGCAGGTGTTGGATCCTCCACCAACACCAAGTTATGCAGCAGACCTATTTCTATATATGATATGAAGTTAAAAATTGTTGGGCCTTTATGAAGCACCAATTTGTGGTTTTCTCGTAAAAATCCTTCTGATTAGAACAGGTGTTTTCTGGTAATGTGGGCATTTTTGTTCCCCCAAAGTCAATAGGAGTCCTCCAGCACAGAATCACAATTCAAAAGGACAATCGGCTGTAAATCAGCCCTGAGGCTGGTAATGGGTGTAAAATGAAGACAAAATGAGAAAAAGACCGCGGGCTGATATATTCCTGGAAGACAAGCTTTTGAATAATTGCTGATGAAATGATAGATTAACAGACTCCAACCTTCAAGGAATAGCTTCAGCTGTTATCTCCCTATATATTATACAGGAAGCATGCAAGGAAGGAAAACAGTTAGCTGCCCTCTCAACCCCAATTTCAAAAATGCCCCATGAATCCAAAGCTTTGTTCCTTTATCAAACAATATAAAAGAATCCGCCAGCAGCACAGTCGCCTCAGCCTCCACAATGAGGTCATCCCAAAAAGAGAAAGTTCTGGACTGATATGGAGCCAGTTCATAAATATAGCTGGACATCAGGCTGTGAGTCCATCAGTCTAAGTTCCTTTGACATTCTTGGTGTGGGGTCTCTGTGCCAGACTGGCATAGTAAGCGCACTGTGAGGGGTCACACTGACCCGGGGGCCCAGGGGGGCCCGGCTGCCCATGTGGCCCAGGGTTTCCTGGCTCTCCCTGTGCTCCAGCTTGTCCTGGGCTTCCGTCTTTACCATAACCAGGTAAACCAGCAGGACCTGGAAGAGGGAGACAGAGGTTAGTGGAATCATTGCATTTGTATAAGAATACTAAACCTTATTATAAATAATAATAATAATAATAATAATAAATGTGTCTCACATGAATCATCTTTGAAGTCAAACAAACTTGTGAAGTGTGTGTGAAATGGGCTATAAAGAATACTCTTAGCATATTCATCACCACATAAGGGTGCAAAATATTTAACACAAGTCAAATGTGTCCATTTAAATTTTCAGAACAAGGCAATGTGAAAAAAGTAGAATTCTCTTCTAGGCTCTTAGCATAAAATGTGTGAACAGTGCTTACCTATGGGACCAACAGGTCCAGGTTCTCCTCTCTCACCAACACCAGCCTCTCCCTTCTCTCCTCGTGATCCTTTTTCACCTACAAACACAGGATTTCATCTATAACTATTCTACAGTTTTAGGGAAACCCAGGCCACCCTGACAAACTCAGATGCCAACACATCATAGTATATAGGTCCTATTATGGTTACCAATTTCATATGATGCTTCTACAAGACAGTATCTTGTCCATCCCAGTACAAAAAAGTTAAGAATCTTTGGTTATTGGTCTAACTCATAATATAGGAAAGAAATCAGAATGAGATCCAAACTTTGTCCCACCTGGAGGGCCCATGGGTCCTCTAGGTCCTTCTCCTCCACTCTGCCCAGGCATTCCAGGCTCTCCAGGAGGGCCTGGCCTTCCTGTACTACCGTCTTTACCAGGAGGCCCTGGAGGTCCAGGCCGCCCTGCAGTGGTCTTCACATGAGCAGGCTGCATCTGAGCCATGAGGTAGGCCAGTTTGGCTAAAGAGAAGAGACAGCTGTTAGAACATCTGGCACCTTCACCCAAAAGAAGGAATCAAGACAAGTTCAATAATTCAAAGGACGTTGATACCATCAAGTTGTTTGGCCAGCTCCTCCTGGATGAGCCGTCTCATTTGCTCCAGTGACACTGACTCTCCCTGGGAACACACATGCTGTAACCATGGCACCCACACTTACATTTACCTGTTGGAGAATGTGAAGGAGCACTTACTCTTGGTCCAGGTTGACCTGGGTTTCCAGAGGGTCCCTGAGGTCCCGGTGGTCCCATTTCACCCTGTGGTCCGGTCATTCCCATCATGCCTGTGTGTCCCTTCCGGCCTGGGGGGCCAGGGTTTCCTGGGATTCCTGGATCTCCTGAGTGTCCTTTGTCTCCCTTTGTGCCTGGGTCACCCTGAAAAAAACAACAAAACGACAACATAGGTGGAGTGGATTAACCTAAATCAGTAGTGTTGGTTTGTACTTGAGTTAAGTTGAACAACCTCTGGTGTGACCCACCTTATCCCCCTTTATTCCTCGATCTCCAACTCGGCCTGGCATTCCCTGAGGAACAGGAGCAGATAGAATGAGCATTAATCAGTGAAAGCAAGGTGATAATTCACTTCATTAGAGATAAAGATAGTACCTGTTTACCCTCTGGACCGACAGGACCAGGAGGCCCCTGCAATTACACACAGTGATCAGTAATTCTGAAATGACACTATAATCAGTAGCCCATGTCAGTAGGGCTTATAGTCACTTCATCAGCTTTAATGTATATTTACATTAGGTAAAACTGAGTCCATATCACTTGCAGAACTTCAGTGGCATGGACATGTGTCTTAGAACAAGGCAAAAGTGTAAATCTCTTTCAGTCTGCATCAGATGATGTACTGTACACACAACCCTGATGTGCACACACCTGGATCGTGTGGCAGCTCTTTTTAAATGGGGGTGACCCAAGGTGAAAGACAAATGTAGCTGTAGCAGTGAGTTGAAACAATGGTTTGGTTAAAAACATAAAGTTAGCACTTACCGCAGGGCCTTTGGGCCCACTAAAGCCGGGTAATCCGGGGCTGCCTGGCTCTCCCTTGTTACCCATCAGCCCCTGCAGAGAGCACACACATCACATGCTGCACACGTGGACTACTGTACTTGTACTATGAAAGCCCACTCATTACGGAGGATTCAGGAAGATTAACATTTAGCAGGATTTCTTTTGGACAGGCTGCACTGGCCTGGAAAACACATCACATAAATGAATCTGCTGCTGGGACACCACTAATCAAATAGATTAGAATTCATATTTACAGTGTTGTTTAAGAACAAGATGCTGGAGGAATTATGAAATGCTTGTGTTAATTGCAAAGTATTATTATACTTTTTCATGCTCTAAACACAAGTGAAGAGTGATAGGCTGAAGGACCACATGACTCTCCCCTGCTCCTCCCCCTGCTCTGCTACAGCACCTCTAGGTGCTGTACATAGGATTATATTATAGATTCTTTCAAATTATGTTCTGTCATTGTGATTCAGGCTGGAGCCATTCATTGCACCATGAGACACTTCACAGGAACTGTTTGTTCAGCACATTCATCAAGTGTGAAGAGACTCAACACTGCAGCATGAGATGTGCAGGGAGAAGAGGGTTCAAAACCCATATTTTACTATAATTTACAGTCTATAATGTACAGTGCATTGTACATTTGAGTCTACATTAGTACACCAAAACAAACCCAACTCCATGCACTAACTACAGCTTCACAGGGTGTTTACCTTATTATTACACCTTATTATTACTAGCATGTTACCTACATGTTAATAATAATATCCACCAAGGATACATAATACCCACCAAGGATACACGTTATGATTATTAGAGCTTAGTTTGCTGTGTGTAAAGTGTAATTGTGATTCTTAATGAGTTAATATTATGTGTAATACACCTAAAGTGTTGGTGGGTTGGCTGAACAGTTCAGTAAACCTGTAGTGGTTCCCCCTCCTACAGTGCTCTGTAGCACTCCCTTCCTTTTAAACCTGCTCTGGGGAGAGCCACAGAGAGGAAGACTATTTCTGCACTTCTCAATATTGAACTGACAGCTCATCTCTTCTTCAATCTCTCTGCATCCTCCTGCCCACAGCTACACCCACTATAGAGTCAAACTGCACTCGGAAATAGAAATCTTCCCATGGATTGCCTCGTCCTTTCAGTATATGCTGTACTTAATGTTCCTAAAACTACATTACTCACAGGCGTTCCAGGGAGGCCGGCTTTCCCTGATGGTCCTGGTTCTCCGGGTTTGCCCTGAGGAAATAAAGCAGGAAAAGTGTGAGTGGAGTTGTCGCCACAAAGGGGTGTTTGAAGGACAGCGAGAGGAATGACACCAGTGCTGCTGACTCCAAATCTATGTCACAAAGATGCTGAATGTGCTCAGTGAGAGGACCCACTCACCGACTCTCCTCGTGGTCCCATCATGCCCTCAAGTCCAGGAGGCCCCTTAGGACCCTGCAACAAACATCACAGCTTTCAGGCTTGTCAGATGCAACCTTGTCCAAGGTTCTCTAGTTTGTATTTGAATGTTGATGTGGGTGGGAAAAGGTTTCAGAATTTGTTGAAAAAATACATTCTGACAGAGTTGTTTAAGGACAACCAGTGAAAACCATTATGTTAGTAGTCAAAGAGAAAAAGACAAGAGCAGTAGCACAAAGCAGTCTGCAATAACTACTGCCTGACTGCTCTGGATTCTTATTACCTGTGTCCTTAGTCAAGACAGCAACCTGTAGTCAGTGTTACTGTGTGACTATGTCTCTGTCACTCGATCTCACAACACTCATATGTACTCATAACAAGTCTGAAGAATTTGCCTACCGCCACCAAGCTAAGCATTAACAAATAACAGTCTAATCGAGACTAATATAAAACTCCAAGGGAAGTCACTTCTCTGATAGATGTACCTCTTTGCCAGGTTTGCCTTCACGGCCCGGTGCCCCAGGCTTTCCATCTTCACCCTGGAAAAGACACATTTTGTTTAGGATTGTAAGAACCAAGCTCTTTCAACTTTACTCAATATTGCATAACACACTGATGAAGATCTAAAATATGGAGATAAAACAGTTATTTAAAAAGTAATTTGGATGTAATAGACCAAACAAAAGATTGTATGTGACGACAAAAAGTCCACCAGTATTGCTCTGATAAAATTGGTGGTATTTTAATATATTTGCCTCAGTTTTCGATTAGCTGTGTCGTAATAACTGCCTATAATTTCCCTTGTGAGTGGCGTTTATTGACACAAATGAGCCTTAGTGTGGAGTGGGTGTCATGGCACAGCGTGGAGAGAGTTCTCAGTGTGCTTTAATGGGAGGTCTGCTGTCAGAGGAGGCTGCAGGGCTGTGTGGCTGTTCCTTCTATAATGATTCTATTGTGGCCACAGTGACACAAGCCTCTCTTCTGCAGAGCACACTGTTCCAATGGCTCTGGTAGAAAGGTATGAAAAAGCAATAGTGCGATGTGCCAAAATGTGCTTTTTAGCTAAGCTTCTGTAGAGAATCTGTGAATGAAACATAACACAACTCCGGATATGTTTTTGATGAAGAAACTGCATTATAACAAAGATTAGTTTAAAGCTCACAAGAGAACATTTTGTGCAATATAGGAGCTTTAATAGCATGACTAGCATAACGTGTGTATAAACATACAGAAAATAAAATGGTACTGAATTACTTTATAAGTAGCCCTACATATTGTCATGCACCCACATTCCATTTCTTATGTTGTTGTTGTTGTCGCCCACGCTTAACCAACCTAATTTTTCGAGTTTGATACATGCGCATTGGATATCAGAATAGGTAATCATATTGTGAACAACTATGCATATACAGATATCAGCCGTGCCAGCTAATTCACTTAAATGTTTTGTTAGGAGTCTCGTGCACCTCTCCAGACAGCAGCTCCAGACACCAGTGCTGTCTCAGTTGCTCTTCCTGTTTATTGTTCTACTTGTCACAGTCAAGAAACCTGCTCACAAATACTCCACTGATGAATGGGACAGTCTCTCCTCCTCTTGCGTCGCATTTTCTGACATTTTGACACAATGAAAAATCTTTGTAGCACTTTCAAGGTAAAATCATATGGCCACAACTCTGCACTACCCATTCTTGATTTTAGTACAAATGCTGTAGCTTTTATTTCATTAAAGGAACCGTATGTAAGAGTTTGATTTTAAATAATGTAAACGTGACCTAAGTGTGTCCCAAGATAAGAAGTAGACATGTTCAAAACTGCACATGGATAGCTGCAGTTCAAGTTTTTTTAATTTATACCAAACTGACTACGCAACACTGTCGAATCAAACAAGTATCATCAGTTAAGAAAATTAATTTGGAGAAAGAAGTAAGTAGAAAGTTTATTACAGACTCTGACCTTTTGCCCTGGAAGTCCAGGTTCCCCTCTATGACCTTTGAATCCCTGCAAAGTGGATGAACAACAGTAAGTGACTCATTAGCACAAGATTCTTCCATGTCTTCCATATTAGAAGTACTGCTTACGGGAAGTCCCCTGAGCCCCGATGGTCCGGGTGGTCCAGGCTCGCCTTGTTTGCCCTACAGTTATACCAGAATAAGAATTTTGGATAGTTTTTATATGTGTCATATTTATTACTTCATTTATATATTCAATCAAATTTACTTACCGGCTCTCCCTGTTCACCAGGCCGTCCATCTTTTCCTATTTTTCCTGGCTCACCCTATAGAATGCAGTAGTTTTCATTTGTTTGTATTCATCACACACCTCTCATTGTTCAGAGCACACACTAAAAAATATTGTATCTTCATGATTGCCTCTCACCATTAATCCCGGAAGGCCTGGTGGTCCCTGGATTCCTTTGAGACCCTCTTTGCCCTGGTACAAAACAAACAGACAAACGGGTCACCATCACAGAGGAGCAGAAATGATTAATGGCCACTATTACCAGAAGGCCGGCTGACCTACATGTAGCACGGGGAAGCTCTGTACAGTAATGACACATAGGTAATATGTTTTCTGAGTATACCACATGCTGACTGACCTTTTCTCCAGGGGGCCCTGGGGGACCAGGAGGGCCAGGCTGTCCATCGTTACCCTGCAAAGGACAGGCACAGTGTCAGGGGAGAGCCATAAAAATAGAAAGGTGGAGCACTGAGAGGCTAACTCCAAATAAATGGGTGCAGTTTAGCAGCCTTTAAGAGCGGCCTTAGTGAATTACAAACATGTGCACTTACAGCGGCTCCCATTATTCCAGGTGGGCCGGGGTGACCAGGGGGACCTGGGTGACCCTGGGAATGCAAAGAGCAGATAATAAAGTTTATTTTTCAAACAAGACTTTACCATTGAAACTAAAATAAATGGAAAACACTGAAAAGGCCTATACACTACCTTGTCTCCTTTGTCTCCTGGAGCACCAGCAGGGCCTCGGTCTCCTTTGATTCCCTATGGTGAGGCAAAAGAATACATGTTGTTTTTACTGTTGTGTCAGTGAGTGAGTTGAAAATGCTCAAAAACATAACAAGGACCTGTATTTATTCTCAGCTTGACTCAAACTACTTTTTCAGAGTTTCTGCAGATGCAGACCTTGCGTCCCCTGCTGGTGTTTTGTATATAGATATTTCATACCAAATAAGACTTTGAAGTTTTTGTCTGAACACATACATTAGTTTAAAGCCACCAGTTAAACTCATTAGATTAGCCAATACAGCCATGTTGCGTTCTCACATACAGTATCATCACTAGATGCTCTCTACATTACTGCTGTCTGATAGTGTGCAAGCTTTAGTGTGACAGAAGACCAGAGAGCTCAGGTAAGCCTGAACAAAGGACAGGTGAAGGGAGGGGTGAAGGGAGGGGAGGGAGGAATGATTCTAACTGGTCTGTGCATGGTTTGAGCTATTTGAGAACCCAAAACTTTGAGGATGTATATTGTTTATCAGTTGAACAAGTGTACCTAATAAAGTCTTCAAAGTCTGAAGTGTTTTCTGTGTAACCTTGGTCAAAGTTTCATTAAAAACATCCTGTTTCCTGAAGCAAGCAATAATAAAGATAAAAGCTCCTAATGAGCATTTGTCCATAAGATCCATTAAAGTGCTGTGTGTGTTAACGTGCCTTTGTGCCATCAGCTCCAGGAGGTCCCTGAGGTCCGGCTGGTCCGGGTGGGCCCTGTAATGATAAGACAGCACATCAGTCTGTGTGCAGCAGACAGGGGGAGCTGTGAGACGGTCCTAATGGTTGAGTGGTGCCCTCAGAGGAGGACGAGCTAATGATGCACAGCTTCACTGCTCTGCACCGCAGTGATGGATGAATTAAGAGCACAGCGCCTCATGGCTTATTTAAAAGAGAGATCAGAGAAGACATTTCTATATCAGGGAAACATTCTGTCTTATTACTAAATCTATAATAGGCATTCATATAATTTTGTCTGACCTGGAAGCCATCTTGTCCACTTTTGCCTGGGGGCCCTGTATGTCCTTTGTCTCCAGGGAGTCCAGGCATACCAGGAGGACCAGGGGGGCCTGCAGGGCAATCGGAGCATATGTCCTATAGAGAAAACAAATATGGGATTTTAGTGGTCAAATCAAAAATAAAAATGATGTAATAATAATGTCTATGTTAAGGGCATCCTACCTTGAGATCAGGCAGGTCAGCAACTTTACCCTGTGTAAAAAGACATTACAGAAAATATTTGCCATAAATCATGTCAATCTCTGCAAACTTCATCAGTATTATAACATCACGCTGTAACTAATGCAATAAAAAGTAAAAAATAGTCTTACAACCTGGTTTGTATGGTGGATACCTTTAACAGTATAATCCACATACAGCAGGTGTTAAACATATGGTGTGATGTTACACCAGAATCAGCTCATTAACACATAACTACACATCCCGACCTGTGAACTCCAGCATTTGGACTGGATGATGATATATATAGATATATAGGTTGCTACATATAGTTTTAACACAGCACAGATTTAAAGTACACTTACAGGCTCTCCAGGGGATCCCTTCTCTCCCGGCCTTCCAGGTAAACCCTGCCATTCAAATTAACATTATCATTATTGTATTTCATTTTCATTACATCACAGAATACTCAGAATACTATAGCCTTTATATATAATATACAACTGAAGGGTGGTTAACCTTTTAATACTCCAAAAGAAACCATATTTTTATTTTTTGCTTTTCTTATTGGCTATGATTTTATTTATTTATTTATTTCACTTACATTATGTCCAGCTGGGCCTTGGGGACCTGCGACTCCTGGTGGTCCTCTCAGTCCCTTGAAAAACAACAATGACAACAAAAACAAATGAAAGGTGTTCTCCTGATTAATTATTTTAGATTTTTAAATAATTACCGCAGGCCCCGGGTCTCCGTTCTTTCCAGGAGGTCCCTGTAAATGGAAATGGAAATCACTGTATTGTAAATTCTTCAAACCTTTAAGCATATGAACATTATGTTGTACTCTGTCCATACCGGTGGTCCAATCTTGCCTTCTCCAGACTGGCCTCTTTCTCCCTGTGGTCCGGGGTCTCCCCTTGGGCCTGGTGATCCCTGGGAAATTGTCAACATTTAGGATTAAAGATTCATAAGATGTGATTTTAGTACAATTTTCATCTGGGAGAAAATCCTTTTTAAAATGTGATAGCAAAGAGCAATCCGACCATAATCTTAAAACATGCCATAGAATCCCATCCCATGCCCCACAGACTAAAGAAAAAGTTAAACATTTTTGTTTGTTTCCTTTCCTTTCATTTCCTGCCTTATATAACATTTCCGAGTTCATAGAAAATATGCCTAATATAAAAGCACATCAAAATATCCTTACCTTCAGTCCTGGAGGTCCCTGAATTCCTTGAGGCCCTGGTTCTCCCTGTAACAGAGACAGCAGAAACCAATCAATCAGAGTACAGTGTGCCAAACTATAGATTATTTGTTGTCTTAAGTTGTATATGTGAGTAAACCTACTTGTCAATGCCTGATCTTCTCTGATGGGATGCTGAGAATACCTGGTGACACAGTGGGGCAGCAGTGGCTCTAGTGCCAACTGTTGTCGTATGTCTTATGCAAGACACTCTGCCTATTCTTCCCTAGTATGTATATGTTGCCTAGTATCAATGTGTTGTGTGAGTGAGCAGTGGTGGAAGAAGTACTCAATTTTACAGATTTTGAGATCTTATAAAACATCACATGCAGTGATTTTGTTCTGAAAATAACCCCTCAGCCTTTTCTGTAGGTCTCAGACAAATGAAAAAACTAAATAAATAAATAAAACTTTTCACTCCTGTGGTGTAGTGAAGTAAAAATAAAACGTACGCATTAAATTTATTTAGTGGCCATACCAGCTTGTCAAAGTCTGATCTCGTCAGATCTCAGAAGCTAAGCAAGGCCGGGCCTGGTTAGTACTTGGATGGGAGACTGTTGGGAAAATCAGGTGCCACAGTGAGGCACCAGTGTTAAACTGTCATTGTGTCCTTAGGCAAGACACTTCACCCTTATTGCCTAGCATGTGAGTGTTGGTGATGTTCGGAGGGGCTGATGGTGCATATTGGCACCCTCGCTTCTTACGACCACTAAGTGTGGAGTGAATGAATAATGCTCTGTAAAGCGTCTTTGAGTGTCCAGAAAAAAACGCTATATAAAACTGATCGATTATTATTAAGTACAGATACATAAAAAGGTACAGTACACTCATGTTTAACACCCAAACCCGGATATTTAGGCTGACCTTTTCTCTCAAAGACATGTCCAACTTATGATGTCATGTGGTAATACAGGAAGTGCTCCACTGTCACTAGAATCATCTGGATGATCTCAGCCATGGAACTTCCAATCTCTACTAAACAAAAGGTAAGAAGTAGCTGTTGAAAACTTACCACTACATGACATCACAAGAAGGAAACAGAGATGTAGACAGACTAATTAATAAATGATTACTCAAAAACTAATGACAAACAATTAATTATATATAACTGTTGTTAAGTAATCTGGTTTATGGTCTCTCACGTGGACTCCATATCTGTAGTTGAAAGTGGCTTGTGGTCCACAGAACATGAGCAGACCTGGAGGCTACACCTGGCAGCTGTAAAAGGGAGGTGCTGGGAGCTCTCGTGTTTGGGCCCATGTTGCTTTAATGTGTTGTTACAGTGTTTCCTGTTTGCTTCTGCTTCGTCAGCACAACGCCACATGTGCAGTGAAAAATCATCAAGAAAACACTGCACCAAATGTGTCTACTCAAGCTGCTTTCCTCTAATAGCCACACTGTTCTGACGCAATGCACAAAACACTTAAGAATAACTTTGTCTGCACATAGGCTACTGCTGTTGTGTCATTAGGCATGACAGTTCACCTGTCTGGTGGCATGTGTTGGTGTATACAGTGGTGGTTTCAGTGTTTTCAATATAGTGCAGCCTGTTTTAAGAGTAATAACACTAATAATAATAATATTAAAAACATCTAATGGTAATGGTTGCCAATATGGAGTGTGTGAAACAATGAAACAAAACATGACTTTAAGTGTTTTTTGTTTGTTTTTGGGGGTTTTTTTGAAGAGGAAGCAACATTATAACATAGATAAGAAAATAGCATAATATTAATCATGTGACCATAGCGACAAAGCGACAAAACAACAGGGCAGTGTTTTGGAGGTCTCTCTCAATATAAACATGCCCACTGGTAAGATGTGTTGGTGCATCAGCTGTGGCACATCTATGACGTTAAACAACTTATTTTCCACAACAAGCCCTTCAGCTGTTAAATAGGCTGCACCCACTGCACCGAGACAAGGATGCATGTATGGGTCTAAATGTCCAATATTGTGCCATTTATTTATTAATTTATTTTCATATTTGTCTCTTTGGTTGTGTGATGAGGCTGTACCATGGCTGCTTGTGAAATGCCATGTGAATTAATTGATTGCTGCTTGTAAAAACATTTGGTAGTTTTTCCATGTTGTCAGAAAAAGTTTACATCAGTCAATAAAAAAACAACTTACATTTTGCCCATCCTTTCCTTTCCCTGCAGGTCCAGGGGGTCCAATAGAACCAGGCTCTCCAGGTGGACCGATGAGGCCTATTGACCCTGGTTTACCTGGGTCACCCTAAACAGATGTAGATGTAGAGCAGATTGGAAGTAAACTACTATTACTGTACTTGTTTATGAAACATGCTGGAAACTATTATGAAAATTTACCAACTCAAAAAAAAAAAAAAAGGTTAACTGCAAGGAATCGTAGCTGTAACTTAGTGAGTTGAAAATACCATACTTAAAAATTACTTGGATATGAGAAGTGACGAGCTTATCTTACTTTAAATCTATATGAGGTGGAAATGTATGCTGGGGACATTATAAGACAAAGGCAGTTGTTGATGCAGAAGTTGTAAAGAGCAAGTCAAAATCCGAAAGACAGAAAAACAGGCTAACAAAGTTAAAATGCCCTCCTCTGTAGAACCATTGTATGAATCAGCTTGACAGATCTGGCATTGTGAAAAAGTATCACAGAATATTCAAGGTCCCTTTTTTGGCACCATCACATTTTGTATGCTCTCCTCTTCACATCCAAGTGCTACACAGCACATTTTCAAAGTAGCCAGTTTTACAAAGGCTGACTGACCTTGTCTCCTCTGACTCCAGCCGGGCCAGGTGGTCCAATGACGCCAGGTAAGCCCTACAAACAAACATTATATCAACTCAATACTGGGTTAGATCAGGTGAACGTAACATTGAATAGGGCTTGTCATACAGAACGTACCACATTTCCCGGCAGACCCCGAGCACCTTGTGCCCCAGCAATGCCAGGAGGACCCTGCAAACATTACAAAGTACATTACATATACCTGACATTGACATGCAGAGTTAAAAAAAAATGTTAAAAGTGAATTAGTTAAAAGAGTTAAAAAGGGATAATAATAATATAAAAATACAAAGTATCAAGTAAATAGATATGGATTTTCATGACCAATGCTAATAACTGTTTAGAATCCAGAGCCTCCAATGGCCATTAAGCTCTGAAAATATTTCTGGGCTGATATACAAGGCCATTTTTGATTATTTCCCCTGAATTTTGTCATTTAAATTCATTACAAACTCACACATTTTGTGCCATTATCTTTTCGCACTATAGTGTTCAAATACATTGAATTATGTGAAGTCTTCAAGCAACAGATCAGCAAAAACAAAATATCGACCTCTGCTGGAGATTAAAAAGCTGGTAGCAGTTACGCTAAAAAGTGCAAATCTCGGACAAATGATATATCGGTCTATCTCTAGTACTAAGGTTCTACTTACAGGGTCCCCAACTCTTCCTGGTTCACCTTGAAGTCCAGTGTCACCTTTAGGGCCCTTGGCAAAGACAGAGAAATCTGGTTATTATCTGGTTATTAGCTTTGATTCAAATAATTAATTACAAACTCAAATATTACCAAACAAAATTAATTATATAAGAAATATTTTTAGGGATCCCTATAACTTACTGGCAGTCCAGGCGCACCCTTAAAGCCTTGTTCTCCAGGTAACCCCCTCTGGCCCTTGAGCAATACACACAAAGGAAACAGTCAGGTGAAAACTGCAAAATGAAACCTTTTATTAAAGTTGGGTACAATACAATTAGTAATGCTACTAATTGCAATTTGGGTGCTTAATAGTAGTAAAAAATATAACAGAAAATTCAATACAAATCACTATTCATAGCTTTTATATGTTTACACCAGCTTACTTCATTTTCACTGTTTGCAGGCTATTTGAGTAATTGTGTAGTGACATCTAGTGACTGTTAAGGTACATTGCCACATGCGACTTATGGACAAGCTATAGTATAGTATGGTAGTGGTAGTGAAGGTCAAATTCAGGACAGGAAAAAAAAAAAAAATCACTTACAATCTCTCCTGGTTTTCCTTGATCCCCCTTTTCTCCTTTCTCTCCAGGTTTTCCCTTTAATACAGAAAAATAGATTAATGTTGTCAGTGTTACAAGATAAGGTCACAGGGTACAAGGTTAAAAGGTAAATGAAAAAATGGAGGGACCAATGTTTTATAATGCTCTTTCATTGTAAGGGATATAAAGTATTTTAATAGGTAATATTGTAGATGTTTTCAAATTTAACCACCCCTGGACGAATGAAGGATTACACTGTTCCAGTGGGTAATATTGTTCTATTGTTAAGCTTGGGGGATTGAATTAAACAGAGGTCCATCCGTCCCTCCATTCATTCATCTGTTTTCTTCTGCTTTATCTGGGGCCAAGGGTAGTAGTCTGAGTATGGAGGCCCAGAATTCTATCTCCACACACTTCCTCCAGCTCTTCCGAGGGGATCCTGAGGCATTCCCAGGACATAGTCTCTCGAGCATGTCCCAGGTCTTCCCCGGGGCTTCCTCCTGGTGGGACGTGCCCGTAACTCCTCCCCATTGAGGAACTATGCCCGAGCCACCTCAGCTGGCTCATCTCGAAGTGGAGGACAAGCGGCTCTACTCCGAGTTCCTTCCACTGACTGAGCTCCTAACGCTATATTCACCCTATATTCGATTTGATTATTTATATTTAAAATAATGAACACATACATTACACACAGAGATAATTTTTGACAAATAAAAATATCAGAAACACCTTTATTTTGTTGAAATAATGTATCAGAAAAATGTGTTTATAGTGTGTAATTTATGCCGAAAATTTGGACAGAATTGTGATCATCAGTGTATTTAGCTCTCTGCTTTCTGTAATTTTGCAAAATATTGTACTTACACCTTATTTTCGCTAATTGCTTCTTGATTTGTGTAAAACTACAATTTATATTTAAAAGAGGTATTGTCACTCCAGATTCAGTCAAAAATAGAGAATCACAAAAACCGGTCATATACACTTTAAATATATCTTGAGTAAAAAAAACAGCCAAATTATTAAACTTACTGGTTCACCGGGTTCAGGGATGACACTTGCAACCTGTTGACAAACAGAAATAACTTAGTTTCACAACTTTCTTTACTGTATTACTGTAATATATTCAGTCAGTATGTCCTAGCCACACAGGCATTGTACTCACATTTCCTGGCGCTCCTGGTAGTCCCCGAGGCCCCACTTCACCCTGAAGATAGAGACACTAGTTTACACTGTCTGCATAATATTTACATAAGCATGTCTAATACTACAGGGAGGCTGTCTGAGGAGTAAAATATGCAATACATTTACCACAATATTGTTGAATGCAATGTGTAGAGAGCTGTTACCTTATCTCCTTTTTCTCCCTTTGGCCCAATGTGTCCGTCCACGCCCCTCTCTCCCTGAAACACACAGGTAAAACATATATACAGAATGTTGTGAGTACTAGAGGGATTTGAATAACAGAGAGTTTAAAGTGAGACTAGCATTAAATATTTTAACAAGCATTTGTCACAAGTTTTTATGGGAAAACAACTAATGATTTGTTGCCTCAAGTTTCAAGCTACCATTAGCCGAATGTTGAAAAGCTGTACATGCTAACCAGAGAGGTGCTGTCTAGTGGTCTGCAATTTACTTGATGTTGTCAAGGAGAACAACTAAGAACTTAGATAATAGCTATAATAGCTAATACCTAAAAAAAAATCATCTGGACTGGGTTTTTTACCTGTCATCTAACAGACTTATGCAACAGTTACTGTTACATAATACTGAGAAGAACATTTTAAAATAGTATATTCCTCAATGGTCTTAATAATTCCCAGAAACAAAACATTGGATATGGATTTGGTCAGGGATCCAGGGTTGCCAGTCTTTTTCATTGACAAAATTTCAAAACTTTTCCATGACTTTTTCATGACAAATGTTAACTCTTTCCACTCACCTTATGGTTTGGTATTATAGTTTTTTAACATTCAGAATACTGTCAATGTCAATGCATTTATTGTAGTCTCTTTTAAACAAAAAGTGCATACGTTCGGAAATAATCATAAAAGCCTAATGATAATTTAACAGAACACTTTAGTTGCGTGAAAGAGATAATACAATTCCATGACTTTTCTAAAACTTTCATTGAATTTACAAAATTCCATGACTTGTCCAGGTCATGTGTTTTCCAGGATTTCCATGACCGTGGGAAGATGTCTCCAGGTCTTCAGTAAGATATTGTGGCCATACCGGCTTGTCATAACCTGAGCTTAAGCAAGGCCGCATCTGGGTAGTTGTTAGGTAGCTGTTGTCCTTAGCCACATTGCCTAGTAAGAAAGTGGATTACACATGAGTGATGCCTGTGCTCGGAGGGCAGATGGCGTAGATTGGCAGCCTCACTTCCGTCAGTCTGCCCCAGGGCAGCTGTGGCTACAATAATAGCTTACTACCTCTGGGTATGGAGTGAATGAACAATGCTATGTAAAGCACTTTGGGTGTCTTGAAAGGTGCTGTATAAATGCTGTTCAAAGTTATAAATTGTTCAAAATTAAATAAGGCTTGGTAAAAGGTGGGCAACACATTGAAAAATGTATTTTAAAATGTATTAATTTATATTGAACAGAATTTTCTCCACTTCGGTGGTCCAATCACTTTTTGTGTGATACATAAATGAGAGGCATTTTGCAGCAAAATTCTGATGGACTTCTGGATTACCCTAATATATTCTGAATATTGTTATCAGAATACCCATAATCTATCTCTACATACATTTTTATAAGTATCTCTCATCATTTGTAGACATACATTTGTATAAACATTTTGCAAACTTACAGGAACACCTCTCTCTCCTCTTGATCCATCAGCCCCTCTCTGTCCAGGTAAACCAGCTTCTCCCTGATAAAGAAAAACACCATTACTTCCTCTTCTACAGTAGTCATGAATTAAACATGCATTAAACTGCAGTGCACTCACTCTCTCCCCAGGGGGCCCTCTTGGTCCCGGAGGCCCATCATCACCCTGAGGACAAGCACATTAGTTAAGTAGTACCTTGTTTCTATAATAAAGACATGACCTCATAAGCTACATGTGTTTTGGTAGTGTACCTTTGGCCCGGGTTTTCCGTCTCCTCCGTCAGTTCCACGCTCTCCCCTGGGGCCCTTCAAATACAGTAACAAATGTTGATGTCATGGGCAGTAAAATGTATTATTTCCACTGAAGTACTTTTACAGACATCATTGGGCCCTGAATCACAAAGCTGCATGCATTATTTGTTGCTTATAGGTCACTTTAAAAGTTCTATATTGTGCAAATGTACTCTTGTAAGCTTTTAGCTATGTTATAATGCTGTTACGTCATCGAAAACATCCCTGTATTTGTGTTTTGTTTTATTCACAAATGTTTGGGTAATGCTACATTATTAGTCTGTCTACATCTTCAAAGCTCAAAATGTCTATTCTACCTTAAAGCAATAGTTTTCAAGTTAACAGCCACCTTTTACCTTTCGTTCAGTATAGATATGGAATTCCAGGGCTGAAATTATCCAAACAAACCCTGAAGGTGTATAGAGTTTAAAAACATAGTGGAGCACTTTCTGTATTACTGCATAACACCACAAGGTGGAACAGAGTGTTTTCTGTTTGACAAAAGAACACAGCCTAAATATGCAGGATTGTGTGTTAAACATGTGTGAATGAAACAAAAAACATGAATGTTTTTAATGAGGACAGAACATTATAACATAGATCAGAAAATAATGTGATATGTTGGCTTTAAAATGTTTTATTGTGCGTGAACTAGCATTATCTAGCATACTTTCACTATTACACTACTTTTGATTCCTCCTGCCTTATTTGCTTGCCTTGTAAGCAAACCAGGCCACCACCAGGCCATTTTTAACATTATTCCACTAAAATGAAATGTTGTGATGTGGATAAATTAAGGTGGAATTTGAGTTTTAGCAGTCAGATTGCTTAAGCTTTGTGACCTTTTTTATGGTTAATATTTGTGTAAATATTACTTGACCTATCCACATGAAACAAACACTGGCAGACTTTTCTCACAATGGCTTTAGAAAATAGTTCCATTATTCAAGTCCAAAGAAATTACAATTTTTAGCTGAACAGACTTTAACTTTAACTCATAAGTTCATGAAGCAAACCCCGAACAAATAAATTTAAGGTTCAAATTATATGGATCATAAGTTTGGATATTTCTTCCAAAAACAATAAATCTCCCACAGAGTTAAATGGGTTTCAGGCATAAAGATTCCTTCCTATTATATTCTTTTCCATGAATCCATAGGTTTCAGTTCAGAATGATGAAAAAATTAGACTGTCACTATAGCGATTAGTGCTTTAAAACAAAATATTACATATTCTAAATGGGAAAAATCCTCAAACTGTTGCATATAACAGAATACTGAAATCCATGAATATACCTATTCAATAAATGGGAACATATTTACAGCAAATCCGCTGATCAAACTCTTGTCTTTGAATAGAAAAAGAATATAAGAATATAACTTGAAAACAACCTTTAATTTTAAATCCTATTAAAATCCTATTTTATCTCTGATGTTAATATAAGGGCCATCTTGGCTGAGTCTTGGTTGAGTCTAGACCATTATTTGAGGGAAATCAGATAACTGTAAAGAGCATACTGACCGGAGCACCATCAGTTCCAGGAAGCCCATCCAGACCATCTTTACCAGGAAGGCCCTTCAGACAGAAGTGACAAATGAGCTCATTAGAGTGAGTAAACATGTCCATCATTCAAACAGGACACAATAACTCAATGACTATTAACAAAAGCATGGATGTTACTCACAGGCTTGCCCATCTCTCCAGGTTTGCCGGAGAACCCAATTTCACCAGGTAGGCCCTGTAAGTAAAAACAACATTAACAAAGGATCAATTGTGATGTACTGATACATTCTCACAGCTTTCACTTACAGGAGGTCCAGTGAGTCCAGGGTTTCCTGGGGCCCCGGGTGGACCTTGTGGGCCCTAAAAACATCAACAAATCAGTCAAGTTATTGATTATAGTTAAAAAGGCAATCTTTTTTTTTTTGTATTTAGTCAGTGTGTTAATGCAGGGTGGTTGTTGTTGTTTTTTTTTACTTCATCCTTGTCCAAAATATATAATCTATCATAAATACCAGCATACATTTGGTAAATGTATTGAGAATATTTTACATTTTAAGGAAAATACAGTTTACCTATGAATGCTTGCCAGATTTAGATTTGTGTAAATGCATTTGCAAAGTATTATCTTAATCCATAAGATTTTAACAATCAAGAATTAAACAACTTTCAAAAGTGTATAACTGGAAAGAAAGTAATTTTGTATATTTATTACAGCAAGTAGCCACTAGAGGGAGCTATAAAGCCACAGATGTAAACCCAGAACAGGTGCAGGGCTTTGCCCCAGGAAGCAATTTGCAGAGAGTGCTGTTACTTTTAATCTCGCTAGTTTAATAGTCTTCCATTATAACACGCTGTGAATAATGTGCTGTGGGGCGTGACCAGAGTTTTTCAACATAAATGTGCACTCACAACAGGTCCAGGAAGGCCATCCACTCCAGGCAACCCATTTTCTCCTTTCTTTCCCTGCAATAAAGAAAAGAACAATCATGACAGTCTTAAGATACTGTGTGTATTTTAGAACTATTGAGTTGTACTGCCTATATCTGCTTCATCTGGGGTCTACTGTCTCCCAGCAATAAACCACATGGTCAAATAGAGTAGTTACTCAAAATAATTGGCCAAATGATAAAGAGCACTCGATCATGACATTCTCAACTAATAAAGTCAATTATCATATATAATCATATATCATAATCATATAAATATTTTCAATGTATATCCATGGGTTTCAGAGTGATGAAAAATTTGCACCGTTGCCATAGCAATTAAAAGTCCTATATTACACAAAATTGACTCTTATGAGCTTTGAGCCATGTTATAATGTTGTTACCTCATCAAATACATAATTGGAGTTGTGTTTTGTTTCATTCATACAAGTCTGAGTGAGCCTTTAATATTAGTCTGTTTACATCTCCAAAGCTCAAAATGCTCTGACCACAGCGGTGTATTTCGTCTATCACCACATGACAGTGGAACAGATTGCTTTCTGTTTGAGAAAAGAACTCTGTCTAAATTTGTGCTAAATGTAAGTGAATGAAACAAAACACATCTCTGGGTATGTTTTTGATGAGTAAACAACACCATAACATAGATCAGATATATGGGCTCTTTAACAATTCCAAAAATATGTTCTTTTGGTCAAATGCCCTCAAAATATCTTCTTTAACCCACTTCAAACCCACAGATATACAGTTGCTGGTAATATCTATTTTTTGGTCCTATTCAAATTATAAGGTTCTATGTAAAATCAGATACTATATGAGCAAAATAAACAATTTCTTCTTTTAATTTTGGCTATAAGAATGGACACTAATTAAACCAAAAAATCTTAGATAAGCAGAATCTACAGGGAACCATATAATTTTAAAGGAGGGATTTTTTGTTATTTATTATTCAATTATGTGAATTAAAGTTTAATACTTTTTGGCTACGTGGTAATATTCTGCCACGATCAATAATTCACTTGCAAGATTCCCAAGATGCTGCCAAAATCCAGATTATAATTGCTATCAAAACAGAGCTGGCTATCATCAACCAAAGTATGTAGTTAAATTCTACAATGCTACAGAGACCATTGTTTTCTCATAGTAAAACCTAACTTGAGCCGAGGGGAGATTTGGTGGATATTGTTCAATCTCAACACAAAATAATCCCTTTATACATATTAATGAAGGGTAAGTCCGCACATCTCTGAGGATCTTGTCTGGCTCTGGAGTCTTTCATTTGGGGCCAGCAGGAGGTTGGCTCAACACGACGACGCGGTCCGACTGAGCAGATGTGAACGCAGATTTGAGCATATTGTTGATGAGAAGCTAATTGCTCCCAGTTCAACAGTGAGCGAGAGGGCACCAGCTTGGCTAATTTTTTGGAGGTGCAAATTATGTAAAAGGATGCAGGAAACATAATATGGAGTGAAGCAAGTATGATCACAGTGCACAGATTTACCTAATTTTCTCCATTTGTCCAGGTTTGGGAATGAGGCTGCATTCAAAACATATAAACATTGCTTCTTTAAAGGTCCTATATTACACAAAATGAACTCTTATGAGCTTTAAACCATGTTATAATGTTGTTATCTCCGCAAACCCATATCAAGTTGTGTTTTGTTTCATTCACTGACACACCCTTGCATACCTCTTTATAAATAGTCTGTCTACATCTCCAAAGCTCACAATGCTCTGTTGCACCTTGAGATGTCATGACATGGTAGTTTCCAAGTTAACAGCTACCTTTTACCTTTATTTTAGTAGAGGTTGTTAATTCCAGGGCTGAAAGAATCCAAATGATTCTAGTGAAGGTGTATGGAGTTTAAAAACACAGTGGAGCACTTATTTTATTGCGACATGAGATCACAAGGTGTTTTCTGTTTGAGAGAAGAGCTAAATATAAAGGGTTAGTGTGTTAAACATGTGTGAATGAAACAAAACAACAGGTATGTTTGTGACGAGGAAACAACATTATAACATACACCAGAAAATAGTGTAGTAACATGGATCCTTTAAAAGAATTGTTAACAAACTTCCTTACAAACTCCCTCATCATTAGGCAATTGTGGTGCAACTTCCAGTAGTTGATTAATTAATGTAATAATGGAATTCTACAGTGGGCACGGCTTCTGCTTCCAAAAATAAAATTTCCATTCAATATTCCCATTCACAAAATGGTTATGGTACACTTTATTGTTCCCATATAGAAATTTTTTTGGGATCCCATTCCCAGATCTTCAACTAGGCTTGGTCAGGACTATTGTAGCTGGAGGATATTACCCATGGTGCATACTTTGAGCTGATTAAAACATTTAAATTTTGATGCAGCATCTGTGTCAAAATATTTACATATATCAAATTTCAAATATACTTTTTAAATTCAATACATTTTCCATTCTGGTCATTAGTTCTCACATAGCTGGTAGGCTTAGCAGCTATGTGACACCAAATAAACTGGATGAAGAAAAATAGAGTAATACTTTCCAGAAGGTCAGAAATGTTTCAAGACTCACCCTCTGGCCGAATTCACCAGGCGCTCCAGGTATGCCTTGTTCACCGGGAGGACCCTACAGAGCACAACATTGAATTTCAGCTGCTGAGACACAAACAACAGAGGAATTTATATTGCCTTCTCCACTACACATGTACAAAAAGGCACCTCTCTACAACATCAAACTAACTGCTGTAAACAGAACATGTAAGAAAGAGCAGAGACAGAATTATAACTGCTGTAAAAAGAACATGCATAAAAGAGCAGAGACAGAATAATAATAACTGACAACACTTACAGGAGGCCCAGGGGGTCCGTCAGCCCCAGGGGGCCCTGGGGGCCCTGCGTCTCCCTGGAAGGACACATTACAACACATTAGTATGCTCCCATGCTATCTGGACATAGAAGTAAGACACTTATATCAACAACAATTCAGCATCTGCGATATTACACTGCTCATTTTTTAGATGATTGATTTTGCTCACTATTATTCCAGTGAAAATATGATATACTCAAACAAAAATACTAATAATACCTACTCATGCTGATTGATTAAAAATTTGGATTCTATTATGAATAAATTAAAATGGCTTTTAATATTATTATCCAAAATATAAATGAGAAAGACCTAAGCTAAAATAAATAGTCAAATTAGTTCTTCAAAAGTATGAGCCCTGCTCCAAACCACAAGCTTTTACTGTCTGAGGATTTATTGTAGACCTTTTGATTAAAAGACCCAAGCTGATCACTGACGCTGACCATTAGAAATGACTGAAACTCGATCTCGATTCAAATTTGATTAACTGCACAACTTTAATTAAATGAAAACAAACCATTAAATATGTTATTTGTAGTCTTTTACCTTTTCTCCTCTTATGCCTGCCTTCTGAACCTTGAGAAAACAAGATAAAGAGAAGTCAGTGATGCCATTTCTTGTCACATGCCAGACATAAAAAAGATAATTATGGCTTATTAAACTAGACAAATATAATTAAATGAACGACTAACAGTATAAATTACTTGCTGTGTTTGTATATATTCTCGTTATTATTCTATCAACATTTTGGACCAAATCGACAAGAGAAATAAAACAACTGATATAATAAGTTTATGGCGAGTATTAAAAATCACTATTATTATTGTTGATGAGCAGATTAAGTAAAAACCGTAACTCAAATTGTGAATATTATTAGTTCTCATAATACAAATTACTACCTCCACCATTATAAAAACATTGTAAAAGTGAAATTCCCCCAAATGTTTTTTATTCACTTGTGACCCCTGCTGGCTTGCACATCCTGTTCTAGACAGAGCTACAGATCTGTGCCAACAACACACGGTTTATTTCTGTGCTGATTACAGACTGTTCCAGAAGGCTTTTTCTGAATCAAAGAAATGATGGCAAGAACAGTAATCTTTGACTTTGACAGGCACATATTACCTGGTTTTATAGTCTGAAAGTATAGAGGATTTAGGATACTGTTTATATTTGAAATTATATTACAAAGCAGATTACAGAATTGTCGTTAAAAGCTATAGAATTGTGCAAGAAGCAATTAGGAGGACAATATATTCTTTCCTATGCATTCTAATTAAGTAAAGTAAGTCAAGTTTTGAATCACAAAACACAAATATATCCTAAATCCTTGCACCGACTAGAACATGACAAGTTAAACTATGAATTTTCACAAAACATAGTAAATATAATCTTTCCTAGTTTTTCCTAATTTGACAACTTTAGTGGAGTTAGACACGGGCAGTATACATAGAGATAATTCTGTAACTGTGACCTGGCAACTGTACTGTAAACAAGGGTTAATGCCTGTTTAATTTACACAATATTTATAATTTGACCAATGAAATGAAAACATCTTCATTTTGTTACATGAATAAATTTAAACATTCAGTAAAAAGTATTCCTTGCTTGTAAATTTTGGATGGAATTTTGTATATTGATGATATAGATGGAGGGATTTATTTTTAGTGCTAACTCCTATTCTTGTCCATGGGTTTGGATTGATGAAATATTAGGTCAGCTTAAATAGAAATCAAAAATTGAAAGCAAAATATCTTTTGAAGGTGAAAAAAGTTCTCACAATGTTACAGGAAGCTAAGACTCATGAATAATTTTCAGCTTTTTTCACACATTGACACTTGAATTATGTAAAACAATAATAATTATTTATCACCTCCAAATGAAAAAGTAATTAGAAAATCATGAAAACCTGCCATGATAATTACTATATCGACTTATCATTCAGTATATAAGCAGGAACAGTATATTTTGGGGCTCAATATTTATCGTGTGTACAATTTCTTTGCAATAGTGAATAGATCTTTGCCATTTTATGTAATAACGTAAGTTTTGAGCTGTTGAGGGTAAAATAAATAACTTCTATATATAATTATTGGTTCATTCTGCCATTTATTTGTTGCAGCTTATGCTTATTAATGATACAGTATATTTAAAAATGTGTTTACTGGGATTATCCTGCCTTGTGTAAATGGCAAAAATAGTTTCAATATTATTGTTTATCACAGTATTTCTGTGTAGCAGTATATTGTGCTTCAACATTTGTGCAATTTCTTTTATATGCAGTTTATAGTAACAAAACCCAAATATATGCCCAAATCCTACATCTATCACTCAAGTAAACAACTGTGTATTCATTTCAAATATTGTTTCTAGTACTTACTACATCTCCAGGTATTCCGGGAAGCCCTCTGTCCCCCTATGACACAGGGTACACAAGGAGAAAAACACAGCGATTAGAGCACTTTAAAACATGTTCAAAGAAACTCCTGGAGGCATCAAGTGTACATAAATAACTATAGTTTATGGCACACAATGTTTTTAGATTTGAAAAGTGAAAGTGATAAGGTGAGGTAATTGTGCCTATGTGTAATCAAATATGGTGTGTGTGTGTGTGTGGGATTATTGGGAGTCATGCATCAAAGAGGTAATTAGAGACAGTGCGTTTTATTTGAGCAGACAAATGAGTGGGCTGATGGCAGACTGTTGGAATGTCTGGAGAATAGGAAGAGAAGCATGGGAAACTGACAATGAGGCCAAATGAAATGCTTGATTATTTTTAAATATTTAGACTTTTATGTGAAATTTTCCAGTGTCAGCAGTTATGTAGACCAATGTAGAATGGAAATACAAAGAATATTCCATGCAGGTAAGAACTGGCTATTGGTGATTGCAGTGCTTAAACATATGGTGTATGGCCTGCCACTTGCTTGTGTCCGTGAAAACGTGATTGCTTTTGCTAGACTGTTCCAGAGTATGTCATTAAAGGTCATATAATTGACTCTTGTGAGTGACTCTTGTGATGTTATAATGCTGTTACCTCGTCAAAACCATAACCGAAGTTCTGTTTTGTTTCATTCACACATGTTTGACTGACATCATGAAGCAGTATTTTTCAAGTCAACAGCTACATTTTACATTGTGTTTAGAGCGACTGGCAGTTCCAGGGCTGAAATGAGCTGAATGATCCTAGTGAAAGTGTATGGAGTTTAAAAACACAATGGAGCACTTTGTGTATTACCGCATGACATCACAAAGTGTGTTAAAAATGTGTGAATGAAACAAAACAAAAAATCCAGGTATGTTTTTGATGAGGAAACAACATTATAACAGATCAGAAAATAGTGTAATATGGGCTTATCCATTACTAAAACAAGCTGATAATGCTTCCAGGCACAATGTATAGGTTAGATCTGTGGAAGTTAGCCCAGTTACGGTAAAAATACATATTTTCATATACTTTTCTATACATTTTGAGCTATACAAACATCTGTAATGAAATAAATGCTAGATAGATCAGTTTAATGCCATTCTAGACAATGCAAAAACACCATGAATAAAAGCAGCCTATAGAAAAGCAAAACACCGCACCTATTAAGATACAATATGTAACTTCTTTGGGAGGAGAATCTACCACCTCATCTGTTTGTCTAGCTTCTCCTGAAATTTTCCACAGTATGATATTAACCTTATCTACCTACCAATCTATCTATCTAGCTGTCTGTCTATCTATATATCTATTCATAATTTTAGCTAGAAGAAAATATGCATTTTGTGTGTAGGGTAACCTCTCCACGGATCTGACTCATAACCTGGCTTGGTGGTGTTCTTGTCACCAGGGAGAAGTTTAATGCCATAATGAGGACAATCCATACAGTAAACTATTCAATAACACCTTCACATACACAAGCAGTCACATACCACTCACTACAAATGTTACAAATGGCACTGTTATCATATTATATTTATCACTGGATAAAAAAACAAAAAACAAACAAACAAAAAAACAACACTGGAATACTTACCTTGTCTCCTTTGATTCCACTTGGACCAGGAGTACCACCCAATCCTCTCAACCCCTAAACAAAAAGTAAAACACTATAAGGAATTGCAAAATATATTACACAATATTTTAAATGAAACTTAAACTAACATCTTTTCCAGGAACACCATTTTTCCCAGGTAGTCCATCAATACCAGCTAGGCCCTAAAACACAGAAAAAATAGTAGATTTTTAGACATACATATATATATACAAAAATTACATAGCATATATACTAAACAATTTTGTGGTTAATGAAGCGGGAAGGTAAACTGAACTAGGGGGAACCTCGCTCACATCTTCTGCTCCTCTTCTTCAATCAACTCTTTCCAGCAGTCTCATTCTAAAGCTGTTTTCACATTTGAGCTGCATCTTTATCTGCCTCATCACCTCTCAGCAGCAGACCCTCTCTCCTCTTCACTGCCACTAACACTATAAGAATGGTTATTTTTAGCACTTTTCTGCTTGATTTCTTTTTTGATTTGAAAAATTAATAGCTGAACATTATATAAAGGGTCTATATTACACTATTTTCTGATTTATGTTATAATACTGTTTCGACATTAAAAACATAAATGGAGTTGTGTTTTGTTTCATTCACATGTTTAACACACAAATTCTGTATGTTCAGGTTGTGTTCTTCTCTCAGACTGAAAAGACTTTACCTTGTGATGTCATTTGGTAATACAGGAAGTGATCCACTGTGTTTTTAAGATCCTTATACTGTCACGAGAATCATTTGGATGATTTCAGCTCTGGAATTGCCAATCTAATGAACTAAAGGTAAAGGGCAGCTGTTAACTTGAAAACTACTGCTTCATGACATAACAAGGTGGAACAGAGCATTTTCAGCATTAGAGATGTAGACAGACTAAACATAAATAGTTACTCTAATGTGTGTGAATGAAACAAACACAAACCCAGATATGTTTTTGAGAGGTAAAGACATTCTAACATGACTTAAAGCTCACAAGAGTAAATTTTGCATAATATAGGACCTTTAATGCAGTTTTGGTGGTTACCTCATGCTCAGAAAGTTATTGGTTCCCTGCTTTGACCAGTTAATACTGTAATTCTGTCCTTCACCCATGCAGTGTATAAAGGATGTGGGTAGCAAGTATCAATGCATGCTCAAATGAGCATCTATTTTCAATACTAGTTTTACATACAAGTTTTAGTATCAGTAATTATCTGATTTTCGATACTTTCAACCTAGTGGGAAAAGCTGTCTTTGCTTGAGCACATAGCTTCAGAGAAGATTTGCCAATCAATGAAACGGTTAATATATAAATTACTAAATGGTCAGACATGAAGGAAAGAATAATCAAATCTCACTACCTCTTTGCACATGTTTCCTTCCAGAAATGAACCGCATGTAATGTAAAACACAACCCCATTTTTTCATTAAAGTCTCATTTAAACACAGCACTGTAACCCAAGCTACTGTGCCCCTTCTTGACTCCCCTCACTGGATCTCCTCTCTCACGAGTGCTTTTCCACCCCACAGGAAATTGCCTGGTAATGTTGTGACCGGGCAGACAGACAGCTCTAAACCTGTCAAACTATAGGACTCAGCATGTTTTAGTCCGGCTTGCCTTTAAGCTGCTATGTTTCCTCAAAGCATATGTTAAACTCATTAGTGTCTTAACTTGGTGTTTACAACATTGTCCTATCCGCATGTTAAAACCATTTATACAAAGCCAATGTCTCAGAAAGATTCAAAATGTTTTCCAACTAGGCATATTACCTTTTTAAATCTATTTACTCTTTTATTTGAAAACACAAGACATCCCCATTACATAAAATATCAAATAATCAAAAATTATATTCTGGAAATAGTTGTTTATACATGGTAGTGTAGTGATGATACATTTCAGACTAGATTTTGATACTAAGGACTCGATACTCAATGCCAATTGCAATACCACGATGATCATAAAAACACTTCATGTAGACAACAGAATGTAATTTCAACATAAAATTCTAATACTTTCTTTAATATTGCCAAGACCATGTGGCCTTATATCTGTGTAACCCGTTAGCCGTCCAAATAAGTGCCATAGTGGTCCATGAGCATAAACTAGTCTACTGTATGTTGTCTTATCCTTTTAGAAAAGGTTCATTTTTGTCCTATGAATATGACTTTTTTAGTATTGATACTTGCTGAAATTAGTAGGCGTATCCAGTTTTGATAGTTCTAGTTTTAGTATTGATTAGTATCTGATTTTTCAATATATTTTTTGAGATGTTGGCAAGAGAGATGTTGATTGAAGATTGGAAAATATTACTTTTGTAAGGTAAGGTCTGTAAAGTCGTTTTGGTCTTTTACTTTAAATCACAAGACATCAAAATCTCAAAAATATTTAATAATATTAAATTATATTCTGGAAATAATTGTTTATACATGGATATAACTTCCACTGAGTATACAGGCCATCTGAGTTGCATTGAGACGTCATCTTAATGGAAAAGAGGAAAGTTCACACATCAACAAAGCTCCAGCGGACTTGAATGAGTTTCCTTGTAGCCAAACGCCCCCACACAGTTCTAGACAAGATGTGGGGAGAGTGAATCAAGGAAGCCAGTGCCACATCTGTTTTAACCATTACACCCCTGGCTTTGGAGTTCCAGGAATGGCCTCTCTTCCAGGGAATGACCTGACCCTGTTGTCGAGATGTAGTCCATGATGTTTGTTCTAGAAGTTAAACTAAGTTGTAAATTTCAGGTGAAAATGTGCGTCTAAAAGCCTGTCATTGGGTCCTGTGCATGCTGCCTTCTTATTCTACCTTGAATTTCATTAGGAACATGATATAAAGGTTAGCCTGCAGGTTAAATACTTACTGGGGCACCTGGTACACCTTTTTCACCTTTGTTGCCAGTTTCACCCTGCAAAAACATATTAAATGTTTATTAAATATACATTCTATTTTATACAGGGAGAACTAATTAGGCAGGCCCCATTACTCACAGTTACACCTCTCAGTCCTGGTGCACCAGGAATTCCAGCATCACCTTGAATTCCCTTTTAAAATAAATGGAGTAAAAATCAAAAACTCAATTTACATTAAGGTGAAATGATTTACAGTTTAATACAAGTTTAAACTTTTCATAAAACAAATGAAAACAAAATGGTAGGCTACTGAAATCAAGCTCAAATGTTGTTGGCCATATTTATAATGATACTTTGATCAAATTTTCTAGTAATCAACCTACGTTAACTGTGTACCTCACCAGATCTCTCGTCAACCCTCACTGGACGTCGGTGAGTACAGTCTATGCCAGACCTGGGCATTGTACAGCTCCAAGGCCACATACGGCCCTTTGGGTGACTCTCACCAGCCCATTTAAGATAATTTGGAATTACAAAACAAATATATGTTATAATTTTATATTGCATGGAATAAAGCTGCATTGCTTTTATTTCAGCAATGTTTTCTGTTTCTCACGTGGCCCCATGGAAAAAAGAATCGTCAACCCCTGGTCTATGTCATAAACTCCACATCCACAAGACACCTCATTGGATATTCGCTCACCAGTAAGTTAGAAGTTGTTTGGCTAACCCAAATTAAATATGCAGTTAATGTTATTTTAATGAAATATTACATAATTGCGCCAGTAGTCGATAAACAATAAACTAGGAATGCTAAGGTAGTTGGTTAGCTAGTTAACTAATATAGCTTCCCTCTCAGTGAGACAACCAGCCTGGGTATGTCTGGTATTTTTCCATTTGTTTTTGATATTTATGCTTCTAAATAACGTTATTTTATATGTTTTGTTCAAATCCCAGTTGTGTTATTTTAATAGCTACTTGGTTGTGCCTCTGGACCGTATTCCGGAAGTCGCTCTGGGCGCCGCCATCATCATTTTTAGTTGTATTATTTATGGAGCTGCCGATCCTAACAGCAAATAAAAAGTTCAATACGGACTATAAAGCCATTTTAAAGCCCACCAGATAATCAATACAGTGTGACCTGTTGGTGCACATGAACATAGAACATTTTACATAAATTAATCTATTTTATGTCATATTTAATCGGCAAAACTTTTCTCTTCTCGCCATTGACATGAATGGGATTCCCGAGTGACCCCATAAATATTCGCGGTTTAGGCAGAACTATAATGAAAAATATAAGTTTTTATTATAGCTCCATGAGTTTAGGTGCATTTAGAGACCAAAGTGAGTGGGGCGGAATTAGGTGATTAAGAAAAATGTGTAGGCTAGGTAGGATGCTTTATTATAAAAAATTATAATAAGATTTTCAGTATTTTATTTATATTTAATATGTCCTTCACATGTTTCTTTCACTATATATTTGTATATAAAATTTAGAGTTTGAATACAGTATACAGTTAAAATATTAGTTAAAAACTGATTTAAGGTCTCAGAAAACCAAGTCCAAGCTCCAGAGAAGCACATCTGTAACCTGGTCATTAAACAGAAAAAGCTCTTGTACTAAAATGGTTTAAATTGGGTAGAAATGGAAGCCTACCTTTGGGCCAGTTGGACCTTGCACCCCCTTACTTCCTGGTGAGCCTGCTTCACCCTGTTAGAAAAAAGGCAATTTTACTGTTCGAGATGATTTACACTTATCAAAACGTCAAATGTGATGTTTCTCACTTTGTCTCCTTTGTCCCCAGGTAAGCCATCGATACCAGGCACTCCTCCTAGCCCCTGACAAATACAGCAAAAGTGAATAATTAGTATCTGGTCATTTTAAGGTTGCCATGTAAACACGCAGATTCAGCATCACTTGGCACACCTTCTCTCCTTTTGGTCCAGCAGCACCTGTTAATCCTATACTGCCTCTGTCACCCTGTAAAAAAGTACTCATTGTTTTTACTTTGCTACTCAAAGCATGCACCAAATAGTGGTTAATGTTGTTGACGTGCTCTTGCAACCTGGTATCACAAAACTGATTCAGAAGCCAAAATGTTAATGAACAATTAGTGTTATTATAATTACAATTAAAGGTTAGATGGACAATGACAGACAACGGTATGGTATGAAGTGAAGATAAGGTGTACAATGCATATGTTTAGTTGAAATTCTGTAAAACGATTACAAAGCATTAAGAACACACTGATAGCTATAGAGACACTATGAACGAACCATTTACAGTATCATGCATTTTGACTGGTCTTCTGTGCCAGGGATTTTCTTAGTAAAACCAAAAATATACATAGTAGGACCTTAAGACCCCATCTGTGAGACCGCACTGTTCAAATCACAGATGGCTGCGTTTTAATTCTTTGGAGCTTACATGACTTCAACACCATTTCCTCCATCATACATTTTAAGCGAGACCCCTGCCTGTGCGCTATAATGAGATATATTTGCCTATAAGCGCACAGCCACTAATAGACTTTCTGTGGAGTTTGTTAAATATCCAATTAGAGAGGATCTCAGCAGGGTGAATTCACTGTCACAAAGTCTGTCTCTGTAAAAATAAAGCCCCACAAAGTCCCATTCTGCTCAGTGCTAGTTTATCTCTGTTTCTGCACACTGTCTTTGGTAAGATGTGAATGTCCCCCACTTGTTACTTTTAGCTGTAGATTAAGACCTGTAGTGCAAAGAGAGGCAGACAAAAAGAATAAAAGCAACAGGATGTTCTGCATTAAAGTTACATTTAATGCAGTAGTTTTATGAAGCAAAAGTAGGCTTTAGAAGTTTTTTTTTCAATAAAAAAAAAACGAAACGCAATCAGCAAGTGTAAACCAAAAGGCAAAATGACATAATTTTGTCCAGTCTTTGAGTCACTAATGACAGCAGTTTAGTCTCCAGAATAGAGCTCCTCAGACTGCACACTGGCAGCTGGCAGACTGGGTGGGCCTTTGGGCAGGCCTGACCCTACTACATCCTCTGTGGTCACCTGGTCTTTAATTCAGGACATCACTCTAGCCATCGAACTGTTCCATAAGAGGTGCAGTTGCACATGATGTAATAGAAAAGAGCACAGAAAGAAGAGTCCATGTTATGTCTAATACATGCATATTCGATATGCACAGAGACAAACATGCTGCACACAGGCTCATACAGCAGACAGGATGGGGCACTTACCTTCTCCCCTCTGTCACCTTTGACAGAGATGACTTTGCCCTGCAAATAATTCATCATTCAGATCAATTATTATCGAGGCACAGAAAGAGAGCAGGGGAGTTCATGCATGGCATTTAATTCTAATACTGTTTATTTTACTACTGATTTCAAGTATGTAAATGTATCATTATCTATGATTTTGTGTTTAATTATATCTTTATATCATGTTTGTTTTCCTACAGTTTCTCCTTTTTCTCCTTTGAGGCCAGATGGTCCAGTAGCACCTGTAGCACCTGTGTCACCCTGAAAGAGCCATATGGAGTGTAAACAAACAGAAAGCACCGGTCTCACACTTAGATGTACAAGAAGGCACCTTTTCACCCTTGGGACCTGCCACACCAGGTTCTCCAATCTCTCCCTGTGGAAATACAAGTGCGTAGAAAGCCCTGAAGACAAACCTCTATACTGGAGCATTTGGGACATGAAAAGTATAATTAGGTTATGTAAGTCTGGTCCTAACAAGGTGTACCTTGTCTCCAGCAGGGCACGAGCAGTTGACTTCAGGACCTTTCTGTTGCTCTGCGCTGGTCGGCGTTGGAGTTGAGATCTCTACTGGAGGAGCTTCTGTCACTACCTTTTTGGGACACTGGAGAGGAACACAAATAAGTTATAAATAAATGCACAACCAGTGATCATCTTTGTTGTTAGAAGTCAAAGGTTGTTTGAAAATCTTTTTGTAATCATAGTTTTGAATAACTATGCAAAGTATAATTCTACAAACAGCCAATGTTCTCACGCATTGTTTTGCTGTTCCATCAGAGAAAAGATTATAGTGAGCCTAAATGCTAGGTATTTGAAACAACAATAGTGAAAAATATATATTGTGTTTCATTTTATCTGGCTACAACCTAGAATGTGTTTTTTGGTTGGTAGCGCATGTAATAATATGTTTTTTATAGATTGACGAGAGCACGGCTGGCAGAACTTACCGGCCCAGTGGGTAGATCACAGCAGGTCTCCAGCTCAGCATGTTTGGCATCGCAGTAAATCATCATCCTCTGAAGATCGAACTGGGTTGGTATAAACAAACATTTCATTGATTAGAAACTTTGCAGCATGTGAGGTCACATTTTAGTTCAGAGGTTGAGAGGAATATCAGGAATATGCGCTGATAAAAAATGAAATGATTTAAACAGTATTTAACATTTTCTTAAGATCAACACCCCTGTTTTACCATTTTATGTATTGTATTATATTATTATTATGAGTCATCAAATAGCTTATATAGATTATATATAGTAATAAATAGGCCTGTCATGATTGTTTTCAACTTAACGTTCAAGAAATGGCTGATGAACCTTATTTTGGGCTAAATTTATCTAATATAGAGGACCCATATTAGGCAATTTTCTGATTTATGTTATAACATTACCTAACATTGTACATAGCATTTCCTCATCAGTTGTGTCAGAGTTGTGTTTGGTTTCATTCCCACATGTTTATTATACAAACTGGATGAATTCTCTCAAACAGAAAGCACTTCAACCTTGTGATGTTACTGTATGCGGTAATACAGGAAGTGCTCCACTCCATACACCTTCACCATAATCACCATAATCATCTGGATTATTTAAACCCTGGAATTGCCAGTCTATTTGGAACTAAAGGTTAAATGTAGCTGTTAATTTTAAAACTACTATTTGACGACATCACAATGTGGAACAGAGCATTTTGAGCTTTGGAGATTAATAATAAATGGTTTCTCAAACATTTGGAACAAAACACAACTCCAGGTATGTTTTTGATGAGGTAACAACATGGCTTAAAGCTCACAAGAGTAAATTTTGCATAATATAAAACCTTTTATTTATTTTTTGCCCTTTTTTGTATGTATGTATACAAACTACAAAAGGGTTTCATGTGCTATTTATTTTTTCTTCATACCTTACTTACAATTTACAATTACATTTCTAAAGGGTTTACTGGTTTTATTATGGGTTATAGAGTTATTGCATCAGTGCCATAAAGTGGTCTTCAAAAGTAATATTTTCAACAGTACTTAAAATGTGTTACCATGACAGGCCTAGCACTTATTCTCAATCATTTTTCTGATACATCACGGAACATAGCCATTACAAAGTGTACTCACATCGATTGGTACACTGTCATACAATCTCTTTCCTATGACAGTCTTTCCTTGAATGTCTATGTCCTCTCTCTCCTCTAGAGGCAGTGTGTCAATGTGCTTGCAGTCCAGGTAGAGGGACACAGTCTTGGCCTCCACACTGATGGCAATCTTGTGCCAGTTGCGGTCAAACAGGTTTTCCACTTCTGGGTTCTTGAACACGGCTCGGACTGCATCCTTTGTCACTCCGGCAGCATTGTATTCCACTGCCTTATTCTCTCCGTCCAGCCTGATCGACACCTGACAAGGAAAGGGCACAGGTAACATTGTTAAGTGTGATTCACTGTCAGTCCCAGTGTGCGCTAGCATCCTACCCACAGAAGGATTATGGTTGAATTATGGTCAATCCAAAACATGCTGCCTAAATCCTGTTTTTGTCTGACAAATTATTTTTAGAATTTTTATTTTTCTTCATTTACTTATTATCACAACTATCTGATAAAAGGGAGAACTATCAAGCTCCTTGGCATGTCAAACATTATAGCCCTTCTATTAAAAGATAAAATTTTAAGAATTTTTAATAGTCCTTTTACATTCATTCCACCTGGAAAAAAGTCCAGAAATCAGAAATACTGGCTTCAGTTTTAAAATGGGAATTGTCAAGACACAACAAAACTGGCAATTTCTCCCAGTTATCATAACAAAGAAAAAGACTACATTTAAAAACATTTTGAATGCACCTGTGGGATTCCATATTTGTCATAGACTTGCCACAGGTACCAGTCTTCACGTCTTGAGGTTTTCCTAAATTTGAATGTCGTCACAAATGCATATTCATCTGGCAGGCCCTGAGCAAACACATCTCTGTGGAATATAAGCACAGTCTTATTAAAATAGTGGATGGAAAACATTAGAAATATTCTTTTATGGTCTAATTATTGTTACGCTGTAGTTTGCTACAAGCTTTTGTGTTTAGCGTTTGAGTGTGGACTCTTACTCTGTCTGCTGCACTATGGGCATCGTACCAAGGCGAACATAGGAACTCTGGCCTTCCTCGTCTCTGGTCCCCAGAATATCCCTCACATTGAAGTATTCCATCAGGTCGAACCCTGCAAAAAGCAAACGTTAGTAGTGTCATTAGTAGTGTCAAATGACGTGTAAAATAATGACAGAGTAAGACAACACAGTGAAAATGACTTATGGTTTTGACACATTTCTGGTCTGATGTTACAATTTAATTGGACACCCAGCAGCAGCAGCAGCAGCAGCAGCTGTGTTAGAGCTGTTAGAAGTTTGATTAAATGCCTTTATAACTAAAGAGAATGTCTAACATATGTCACTCCATCATCTGTTGCCATTTGGCAGAGGAAAAAAGTGGCCTCCCCCAGGCCAGTATCTTGTGTGCCTTGGAGTATATGCACTTGTGTGTACATTTACCCACAGCATGTGATTTGAAGTGGTCAGACCACAGACCATAGTTAGGCGCTTTAGAAAGGCACTCCCTTGTACAACAAACAAGTGCTGTAACTATGGCGATGGCAGCGAAATGAGAGCTCACTAATGCTGGCTGATTGTCCAGCAGAGCGCACTGATAGCCTGCGCTTATGTGACCAGAGTTTGTCTCAACCGTTAAGTAGACTGTGTTATTAGTGAGTGAACATGACAGAAAAAGACTATGCACAGTACAAATCTATTTCTAAGAAGTTTAATTGCAATAAAAACAGCAAATTATGGTGTCATGTTTTAAATATAACACATTACAAATGCTTTGATAAATCTTACAGCATTAGTTTCATATAATTTCATAAATGTCTCTCACTTACATTGTTTGATTATTATTAATCATTTCTTTTTGCACATTTTATCTCTGTCCTATTGATAACAAATCCCGTTGAGTGTATCACCATCACATACATGTTGCAGAGAGGAAGCCTCAGAATCAGGCAGTAATGTGAGCATCTTAGTGGAAGTATTTGAGAATAGCCTGGAGACAGGTGGTAAGACATGCAGGCTGCAGGCTCATGCACCATTAGCAACAAAGCAAAAATAACATTTCAACAGAGCAGTCATAACAGGCTCAATAACAGACAGGATCAGCCGACCAGAAATCCACTCCATCTGGGTACATTAATACTCTGCACTTTTCTAAATGAAAACATTCGATCCTTTTCATGTCTGTAGTAGTTGTAAATTTAAGCATTCCACTTTGGCCAGCAGGTGGTGCTGTGTGGTCTTGAAAAACCCTAACCCTTTAATTTGTTAAAGGGGCTTATAAAAGTAAGTTATTTTTAATTACTACCTCCCTAGTTCTTCTCATTATTCAGAGTAGAAATCAACCAATGGCATTTCTACAGCAACTTTAATTAAATGGAACCTGAATATTAGTTTGTCTAGAACTGATCAAGAGTTTCAGTCACTGATCTCACTGAACATTTACCCCCTCTTGCCCAACGTAAGCAAGTGCTTACGTACAGTGCAGTGCTGTTAGCTGATAATATGGGGCACACATCGTGCTGGAGGAGGGCACAGAGCGCTGACTTCTACTGCCCGTAATATTGGTTGCTGCATTTGCATCATGCACATTCACTCACTACAACGTTATGCGGCTGTTCAGGGCCATCTCAGCTCAGAGCTGTAATTTGGACTGGCAGTGGATAGTGTATAATCAAGCTAAAAAAGTTATTTTGGACAGCCAGAAAATGTCCAATAGGGTGATGTGTGGAGAAAGCCAGATGAGTTCACAGACTGGGAAAAGGCATTCTTCTGATCCAAGCAGATGGCTGTGCTTGTGCAGGCCGAGTGCTGAAGATACGATTCATCCTCAAGCGGGTACTGCCGGAGTACCCCAAGGGGTCACAGCAGACAGCCGCGATAAATACAAGTCTGACTCAAACCACAAGTCTCCTGGCTGTCAAATCATAATCAGCGCCAAATAGACTTGACATTTCCAACAGAGAATTACTCTCTGCTACAGCATTGAGTGCATCTGTGCTGTTAGAAGTTTGAGCCTGGAGAAGCTGCCCTTACTTGTGATCAAAACTGTTAACTCTATGCATTAAAAGTTCTTTCAAAATAAATAGGACATGACTATCCATCCCTTATTGGGAAGTAACATTGGACGACCAAATACATTTGAATGTTAGCTTTATTTTGTTTTACAGAGAAACACAAATGTGTAAAATGTGAAAGAATTTGTTGTGTCAGGTATTGGCCAGATATTCGCTCACTACTAGAGAGTGAGTCCCTCAACTATTTCCACCTTCACTCATAGTTGTTAAAAAAAAAATACAAGCCATAACTGTTCTGTCTGGGATTCAGTAAAATGCAATCCTACATTTTACAACTTACTCGTGTCGAGAGGCTACAGACCACAGACCAGTGCTTTGAGCTGAATTGAACAACAGTGTTTAGAGTTATAATTACAGGAGAAAAAACTTAAACTGAGTCATTTATTATTTCTATGCTGCTGAGAAATTAAATCCTAAGCGAAGACTTTCATTTGATTTTTCTTGTCCTAATCCTCAAACTGGAAGTACACTTAGTGAAGCACACATGTGGGCCCTGTAATTCAGTCAAACATACCCATAATGTCAGAAATAACCCACAGTTGGATCCACCCCTTTTGAAAATCAGCTCTTAAATTTATGGTTTCTGCTTTGCGGACATAATTAGGGGCTCGTGGTAGCATGTAGTTTAATAGAAGCACCTGTTCTTCCATATCTATAAATTTGTCAGGCTGCATCTGACAGATTAGAAACAAAAGCAAGGAGCTACAAACAGAAAAATAGACTAAAAGAAAAAGAAAAACTTAAATTCTTAAGTATTTTCTAGTGTTTTTGGCGAGGTTGATGATGTAGCAGTAGGTAGTATGCCATAACTGTCGGTAGTAACCCATTTTGTCTGGCTGCACATGACAGATGAGAAATGAGATCAGAGAGCTACAAACAAAGAAAAATAGGCTAAACGAAAAATAAAAAATACACAGCGCAAGTATTTTTTAGTTTTGTAGGCAATTGATGTCATACCAATAGTTATCGAAGAGGAAGCATTAACAACTACTTGCAATGTAATATGCAATTGTAGCCCAAAAAACAGCCATTTTGTCTGGCCTGTGTTATTTCAGTTACACACGGTGGCAAAAGTGCAAAAGGAAATGTCATTGGTTTGCAGTGATTTATCGAAAGTTTGTTTTAATATCTTTTGGAACCGAGAGGAAAGCATAACCACATAATTAGCACTTGGCCAGTTGGCGGCGATGTGATAATGCGACTCGACAGTGGGAACTGATGCTGTCAACTCCTGAGCAAGTCTTCCACTGAATGCTGCCAAATTCCCATGATCGGCTGGACTTACATCAGTTTAAAGTGTCAGGGTGAAGGTGCTCTATAATCTATCTATGATATGAAACTAGCTCTTAATCAAATCAATATTCATTTAGTAATTTTTGGGTTGCAATGGTGTTACTTTTTTCTTGACGCCTGTTAGGATATAGGAATTCAATGTCTATGTCTATTTTCTAACATTTAAAGCCAATTTAATGATCTTTTTTTTTTTGCAAACTGTCATTAGGTTTTCTCTTGACCTGCTAATGTGCATTAATTTTGTCCTGACAAGGAAAAAACTTTGGGCACCCCTGCTTTTTACTTTTATATGTTTTGATTAGAAATTCACTAATACTGGTATCAAATACCAGCACCGATCCAGACATAAAATATGGATTAGGTATTGCCTTTCCTATGTCACTTAGCAAAAGCATGGCTTGGCTTATATGTTCATGTAATAAGGCTGGTCTCTTCTGTAGTTACTTAAATAACAGGTAGGTAACATTTTGTCTTTTTATTTATTGTGTATAGAAAATTAATACTGTTTTCAGTTTCTCCACTGTTTTTGGATCGTGCATCCCTAGTTCTAATCTTGTTGATTTTAGGGTAAGCTATAGTTGTGCATTACTGGTAAATGGTCCTATTTTTCCAATTGCGCTTTTCCACCTTCAGGGCACTCAAAGCGCTTTACAACAAGGAACCACTCACCCATTCACACACACATTCATACACCAGTGTACGCAGACACTAGGGCAGGCATGTTCAAACTATGGCCCGGGGGCCAAATGCAGCGCTCAGACAAATTTTTCTTGGCCCTCAGGCTTCCAGGTGAATTGGTCCAAATGACCTTGCATCAATTTAAAAATATTTTTTTACTGCAAGTTTTTGGAGAATCTACCTTGATAAAGCTTATATTTCATATTTAGTGTGTGGTTTTAAGGATTTTAGCATGAATAAAGACTGATGGTTCATACTAACATGTTAAGCATGCACATATTTCAATTATTCACTGAATTGAGCACCAGTCTATGGCCCTTGATCAGCCCTCTGCTTCATCTGTGGGCGGCTTCATGTGGCCCTTGATGAAAAAAGCTTGGACACCCCTGCACTAGGGGCACGGTGGGTTAAGTGTCTTGCCCAAAGACACAACAACAACATTCATTCAACTGTGAGAGCTGGAATCACACCAGCCAACCTGTGGGTCAATGGATCTGACCGCTCAACCAATGATGGTTGGTGTCAAGAGTGGGATTTGAACTGCCAACCTTCAGATCAGTGGACAAACAACCAAGCTACTGCCGCCCCTATTATACTCTTTTGTGTTTTTCTGTGTATTTTTTTTTTCACTTGGAGTTATGGTCCCATACCTCCAAATTTTTCCCCCAATTGACCTTATTCCGCCAACCCACTTTTGTCTCTAAGTGCATTTAAACCTAACTTTCTTGCAGTGGCACTTCTGGTTAAACAGGAATTCCATTCATGTCAATGGAGAATTTGAGAAAAGTTTTGCTGATTTAATATGCATAAAGTATTTTTTATTTTTTTTTGTGTAAAATTTTCAGTGTTCATATGCACCAACAAGTGAACAATGCACCGATTCTCCAGTTTTTTTTAAATGGCTTTATAGTCTGTACTGAACTTATTTGCTGTTAAGATCCACAGCCCCATGCTAAATAATACAACCCGAATGATGATGGCCGCTCCCACGGCAACTTCTGAAATAAGATAAATAAAGTTGAATACATTGGTGAAAACATTTTTAACTGGGGCTTAGCTATGTGGTATAATAATTATATTTTTGTTTGTTACACTTTTTCTAGCATTGTTTTTCTGTAAATGTGGCTTGTATTTGACATTCTTCCTGTTATTAGGGGTCTGCAAGTCTTCCCTTAATTCTTTGGTTCTGGTGGTTTATTGTGGTAGCCCAAAAGTATGCAAGTCAGATTAGCTGCACACGGTCTACTGCCTTTGGTGAGAGGGCCATGGTCAATCTGCTTTTCTTTTTATACCAGAAATACCACATTATACATTACATTAGGCATGACTTGAAACATAACCAATTGGCTCAAATATTCGAATTAACCAGATACAAAATGGGGTAGCCTTGTTATTTCTTGAAGTTACCATGGAATAGCGTAGTCAGTAATATACTTGTGTTTGCTTGGGTAAATCAAGGTCATTTCTATTAACCAAGTGTAATTATAAGACATTGATACATTTAGATAGTGTTGTTTAAGTAAAATGTATTGCATGCATTTAACCCTCAATATCCTTATGTCATGTCTGGTGATATACTCCTTGATGTTGAGCCTTCGGTCTTGGTTTTGACCTTGACATCTTGAGTCTCTTGGTCTCGCATCATTGCCCAAAGCCCCTGTTTGGATCATTTCCTTGCATAGCCGGTTTGGTGGTACACGCAGACTCCCACCAATGATGTTAAGTCAAAATATTTACAACAGCTTTCTATAATGTAATTTTCTCTGACAATCAATAGCCAAAACAGTGTATGCATCTGTTTTTAGTCTCAAAGTGATGGATGTGGGTGGGAGGCACAGACAGGAACTCACATCCCCAGAAGACACGCTTAGAACAACATCCGAAACCTTCTAGACTCTTTGGAGAAAGCTTTAACACAGCACCTTGGAATGCACCCAGACAGGACACAATGAGAAGGACAGTTTGTTTAAATAGCTTGGAGACCGGTACAGCCTCTGATTTGAACATCATAGTGACAGTTAAAAGCACATGTTTCAGACTTTGAATTATGTTACTTTACTGACCAAAACATATGACCCGGGCAATGGAAACATTAAAGGAGACATGTCATTTGAAATGGACTGTTATGAGCCATGTCCCTTCTTTAAACTGTTATAGTTGCTTCATTATCATGCCGTTGTGTGCAAAAACTGCGTCCCACTGCATGATGTCATCCAGTGGTAACCAAGGAAGTGCTCATTTAGTCTATAAACTTTCACCAGGCATATTATAATTTCTGCTATAATTTTCCCTTCCCTAAACCAACTTTAATGCTTGCAGCGTTTCTTTGAAACTGCTTCACCTCTCAGTGTGCCAGTAGGTGGGGTTATAACGCTCTGTAAACATTGGTTCATTTCTATTCTTAAAAAGCAGTAGTTCATTTGTTTAACATGCACATGATCAAGCTTTAAAATGTGAAATACTAATTCCAGTAAATAAAAAATTGTTAAAATTATATGATCTTAACATGTAATTAACACATTTGACAGTTTTCCAAGATCTTGTTTGAGCCATTTTCCAATACCTTTCAAATTTTAGAGTGAAGCAAAAAATAGCTACGCATCTCAAGAAATAAGACAATTTTTAACCTCATGAATAAAATCCATTTCATTCCACATCTAAATGAAATAGGGTAAAACTCTATCATAGTATTTATAGCTGAAATAACTTGCCATCCTATCCCTTTTTATTTTAAATATAGCTGGCTTAAAGTAAGTGGATTGCTGTCTGTGGTTTCTAAGCGCTGCCAGGGCTGTGTGTTGTCGTAGCAAAGCAGCAGTTTCCACATACCTGGAACCTCGTCCAGACCGTAACTGGTGCTGTTGGGCTTGAAGCGATCAGGTTGTTGTACTTTCATGTTTGGACACAGTACGTCTGAGAAGAGAAGACAATGTGGGAGTTAGACATGCCATAAGTCAAAAATACTGTATGATGTGTGCAAAATGTGGGGCCCTTAAGGTGTTATGAAGCAATCATTATCACTGTTGCAATAATAATACTTTACAGGCCCTATGTTATGTAAATTTGACTATTGTGAGCTTTAAGCCATGTTTTAATGTTGTTACCTCATCAAAAACACCTGGAGCTGTGTTTTTGTTTCATTCATGTTTGAGTAATCCTGATTTATTAGCCTGTCTACATCGTCTGCTCTACGCCAGCAGCCCCGGGACTGGTTGAGAAACATGGCTGCCAATCTGCACCAACTCTCACAGTTGTACAAACATTCATACAGAAGCAAGGCGTGAGAAGTGCCTTGCCCAAGTAGACAACAACAGTCAACAACACACTGGTCTGTCAAAAAGAACCTTTATTTGAATATAACAACAGTATGCAGTGGTTGGATTGAACTGTGATTGAACTGCAGACTTTGGGGTAAGTTTGCTCTATCACTGAGTCACTATCAAACTTGCTATGTCGTACATTGCTACACATTTAAATTTAGATCATTATCACCAGGGAGAAATCGAAGTGACACCCTGTTTGGTGTAGACATATGAAAAGAGTGCTAGACTGTTCAAGGAAGTGGTAGACCAAGCTTTAGAGGCAGCGTGATGTGGGGGCTCTGTGACTGTCTGGGCGTGTGCAAATGAGGTGCTGACTGTTTCTGTGTGACAGTAGTAACAGTCTAATATTTCACACACACATATTTTAGTCGCTGTGATGACAGTGAGAAAGCCAACACCTCCTGCCTGGGATTTTATTGGCAGCAGTTGTGTTTTCTATTTATGCTATAGCGTCTCTTTGCATTTCTAAGAAGTAAACATTAGGATTAGAAAACGATAGTGGAGCAAATTAACACATTGATATACTTGTGTTAAGATGATTTGTTACTGCAGTAATTTTAAATAAAAAAGGATGGTGTGAAGGTCAGAAAATTGTTTATGGGGAACCACATGTTTCTGCCATGACATCAATCAATGCTTAAGCCCCAGTTTTGGTCATTGCATTTTGATTGTTTTTTAACTGTAAGGGAAAATATCAGAGATTGACTAATATGGGTTTTTATCGATTGTACTGATTGTTTGGGATCCAGGGAAACCGATGGCCAATAGGCTATGCTGATATTTTTCGACTATAGGGGAGATTTTGATAATTTTCCCCAAATTATTTAATTTTAATATACTAAAAACTCACCCACTATCTTTTTTGTGCAGTTATCTCATCCCATTAAAGTGTTAAAATGAAGCTTTGTGTGTTCTCTTTAGGAAGCAGATCAACCAAAACAAAATATCTACCTGTGCTGATGTGCCATTAGCTGATATCCTAAAAAGTAAAAATATCAACCTGATACATCAGCCAACCGATATATTGCTCTATCTCTTAGGAATATGGACTGCAATGTTACAGGTAAATCAATGTTTAGTTATAATTATCATGTATGACTAAGTTGTGATAAGCTTCAGTAAAAGTGGGGCCATTTGTCAAAAACTGTAACTGTATTTAAAAGTGGAAAGAAGGTGTTTAGAGATAAAGTAAAGTTTTTACATTGGGTGCTGCTCCTGCATCCCCCACTTAAAAGAGTAAGTTAATCCTGTAGCTAAGTGCTCCTGCCTGGATCCCCTGAGCACTCTTCCTGATGCTGTGCCTTAGTTGCATTGTATAAAAAGCATAAATGCAGAAATGTACCGGTAATACATTACAGTGGCCAAAATGCCTGCTTTAACCTCACACAGCTGCAGTCTCATGAGCTCTGCTAGTCTAAGAGAAAGTGGCATTTTGACAAGCCATTAAACCTGGTGAAGCTGTAAAGTTTTGCTACATTTAGATGTGTATGTGTGTCCTTGGCTGTTACCTGTAAACCATTTTGCAAAGTGATAATATAAACTCGTAGACTGAATGCTTGGGTTGTGTTGTTTATAAAATGAGCCACCTCACCTTAAATTGCTATTCAGTATGTGAAGTCGAGTGCGTCATTCTTTTTAAAGGCTGTAACCCTAAGGACTTGCTAGCATGCTACACAGCCAAGCTACTCCCTGCACTTGTGGCCCTCAGGCTATAATTTAGGGATCCAGCTGTGAGTTAAAATGAGACCTGCATTTGGAAAGATGTATCTCACTTGGATTCACATTTATCAACAGTAATACTTGTACCTGGAACTTACAATTATACAGGCTCATTTCTATTGCTAACTTTAAACTATAGAATCAAAAGTCAGAGGTCAGTGACATTCCAGGTCAAGTATGCAATGCCCAGAACAGGAAAGACCACACATGAGCTAATACACTGGTAAATGAATAACTAGCTCTTCAATCTATTTTAGCCTTATAGATTAAAAGGTGAAAAACTCAACTTGGACATTTGGATGGCTGCTACAGACCCACTCGTAACATTAGAGCTGTAATTTTCTGAGTGAAAATAACTTACATAGCTGTGTGTGCCAGTACCACTGACCACTTATATACTTAGAGATTCACTTGTGGTGAGTTTTGAGATTACACTAGGGAAACTCTTAAATGGATGACTAGTGTTATATATTTTGATACAACACAGTTAAAAATGTACGTGTAGAAATAGTTCTGTTTACTAATGTTTCTTTAATACCATGCCAGATTCTGCTATGATGATGGTAAACTCATGCTATGACTCTCTGCTCTGACCAGTGGTAGAGCTACTCAATTTTATAATTGAAATAAAAGTTTGGATCAGAAAATTACTCACGTAAAAACCAAAGTAAAATCATTTTAGAATAAAAAAGTAATAGTATTTCATATGTATTTTTTAGAAATCTTAGTAAAGACAACATTTTTGGTCAACAATTTTACGTTTTAGTTTTCTCAAAGACAAGATCTCAAGCCCTTTATGCATGAATGCACAAAAAAATAATCCCTTAGCCAATTCAGCAGATGTCAAAGAATAGAGAAAAGCTTCAACTTTTCAGTGTAGTTCAAAAATGTAGTTGCCTGCACTCTAATCTAGTGAGGCAAAAATAAAAAGTAGCCAGTATCTTGTTTTAAGTACAGTACTTTTACTTTTGTACTATGTTTCTTTCCACTATGGTTCTGACATAATAAAGGTCCTGTCTTATGCAAAATTGACTTATTTGAGCTAATCAAAAACATACCCAGAGTTGTGTTTTTTTTCATTGAGTATGCCGTTATTACAAGTCTGTCTACATGTCCAAAGCCCAAAATGCTCTGTTCCACCTTGTGAGGTCATGATGTGGTACTTACCTTTAGTTCTACTTTTTAGCTTTAGATCAGTAGATATTGACAATTCCAGGGCTGAAATCACTCAAATGATTCTAGTGAAGGTGCATGGAAAAAACACAGTGGAGCACTTCTTGTATTGCTACATGGCATCACATGGTGGAACAAAGTGTTTTCTGTTTTAGAGAAGAACTTTGTTTGTGTGTTAGTCATGTGTGAATGAATGAAAAGACAACTCCATGGATGTTTCTGATGAGAAAACAGCATTATAACATAGATCAGAGGATAGAGCAATATGGACCCCAAGAGTCTGTATGTGTGGCATGCATTCTGTGTTCCGGTATTCTTTTCACCACCTGATTTTACAGTGTCATAGGGCAAGGTCAAAGTTCAGCTGCCTTCAAGTCCCCTACATTATTTTGTATTGTTGTTCCTACAGTGTCAAACATGAGTATTTAGTGTCTGGTTTAAAAGATTGACATTTTTACTCTTCTGTATACTCTAAACCATGCAATCATGTCATTTCAGTATTTACAGTTTGTGGTATGGAATCGTGGCATCTTTTCCTTTCCTGTCTGGCTAATTTTAGGTCGGAATTTCAAGTGCTTGGGCCCAAAGCATCCATCATCTCCGTGAAGCCTCTCTCATTCGTATTCCACACTGCTACCGAACAATCTACAGCAGTGAGTCAGTTTTACTCCTGCAAATGCATTCAGCTACTGTCGGTATAAGTTTAAGTTCTGGTGAAAGCATTTGTTAGTGGAAAAACCATTGAGGGCGAATCCAAGTGGCTTTCCAGTATTAAACACCTCTCCATCAGAATGGCAGGCTTAAAGGCAGCCCCACCGCAGAAATGTTATGGTTAGAATGCTGTCATTTACAAGCTACTCTTGCATCGGCACTCCTCACTTTATACTCCATCAAAGGGAAGCCACCACAGGCTCCGCGCATGTGCAGGGCCTCTCTGTGGTCGGGGCGGGGTTTTAGTGGTCAGGGTCTTTCCTCGGCATGCGGTTAAAAGGTTAAAATAAGAGTCTTTATTTTATTAAGTGCATGTTTAAACAAACTTTAAGAACTTGTTCCAGATTTCTCCTGTTTTCTAACCATGACGAAGGAGGAAGTGGAATTTAAATCTTTTGCTGCGTTCCTTGTCCTAACTTATCTCTAAATTCTAAAGACAGAAGAGCTGCCACCATTTTGCAACAACTCACCCTACATTGTTGTTGGGGAAATCTGTCAAGAGTAGTAGGTGATGGCAGTGCAGTGTCTAGGAGAGATCTCCAAATCTTGAGCAAGACTTTGTCAGGATTCCAGAGCTTGAAGACTTTGCCTGTCAAGCATGTTTTAAATTGTGGGACTGGCCACTCACCATTGCACATTCTTCAAGTTTAGCAAAAGATGGCCATATCTGCTTGTCAGTGCCCAATCATGCCAGAACTGGGAAGCTAAGGAGGGCCAGGCCTGGTTAGTACTTGGATGGGAGACCATTGTGAGTACCAGGTCAGCAGTGGAGACTGTCTGTTTTTTTCCTAAGGCAAGACACTTCACCTACCTTGCCTAGTATGAATGTACTATGTGCATGACTGTTGGTAGTGGTCAGAGTATCCAGTGGTACAGATTGGAAGCCTTGATACCCCAGGATAGTTGTGGCTACAATGGTAGTAGCACTAGCAGTGAATGAATAATGCAATTTAAAGCTCTCTATTTGTCTTGAAAAGTGCTATGTAAATCCAATGCATTATTATTATTATTCATTAGTAGAATATATTTTTTCATAAACCTCTGCTTTTACAATAGAATCTCTTGTGTTAAATACATTTTTACTAATACTATACAAGTAAAAACACTTACTTTCACATAGTCTCTTCCTCAGCCTGCCCCTAATCTTGTCAATGGCATTGAAGTCGGTCACATGGAAGACGTGGGCATTTTTGGGCTCGGCTGCGATCTCCTCCAGCTCCTCTTTAAGCGCTTCTCCAATGCCCACGGCGAACATCCGGATCCCAGCCGCAGTCGCAGCCTTGGAGGGCTCCAGAACATAATCCTGGCTCCTACCGTCTGTGAGAAGGATGGCCACTCTCTGGATTCCACGGGCTCTGGGTCTTGCTCCGTTCCGCTCCGTGAAAATGTTATTTGTAGTGTAGCTGATCGCGTCCCCCGTCATTGTATTCCCCCCTAGGTAGCGTATGTTCCGAGCGGCCCTCTTCACATCCTCCAGGCTCCTGTACCTGCCCAGGTTAAACTCTATGGTTGGCCTGTCACTGTAACGTACTACAGCCACCCGGGTTTTATCTGGTCCAACGTCAAAAGAATCCACCAGGTTGGACACCCATTGCCGGATCTTTTCAAAGTTCTCCTTTCCCACACTGGATGAGGTGTCCAGGATAAACGCCAAGTCGTAGTGAACATTTTTACAACCTGGAGAGAATAGATAAGATTTAGAAAAATTATCTGGGTAATCAGTTATCTTAAACAAATGAGCCAAAAGGTTTAGTTTAGTCAGTTGGTCCTCATGGAAATTATCTTCCTAAAATCCACAGTACTTAACCTTGTCCCATTATTGAAATCACAGTTATTTCAAAGAATGACTTCTGTACTGTCAACATTAACCCATAATCCAAACCTGTGTAGTTTAGGAAAGTGGCTTTGCTCTATGTTTTAAAGGGCAGAGCACAAAAATCATTCTGAACAGAAGGTAATTAATTATATTTTTAATTACACATTTTTTGTAATTAAAATGTGATTAATTGCACTGTCCCAATTTTATTATTAATAGCAGTATTCTTGTGCTAGTACTGGAATGATGGAGACCCTGCAGAATTTTTCTACATATGCAAGTTTAATGAATTCAAACAGCAAGACAATTCTGATGTAATTTTTCTTAATATGCTTTTCCCATTTACCCTTTTGATCACTCAAAAGAGCAATGGGCTTTGCTTAGGGTTTTAGGAGACAGTTTTATTGGGAAACATAAAAAGCCTTTAAACGACTGAACAAAACAGGACTTCTTACACCTGTTCCAGTTAGAGGTTTTTGTCAGCCCACTATTGTCACAACACCTCAGAACTCTTCTTGAATTACTTGTGAACTTCTACGTGAATCATCAAGTGTATAAAAACGAAGAAGTGCACATTCCAAACTTTTATTACAATACAGGAGTGTGGAGATACTAAAGGGTACATTTATACATGCATCTCATTATGTCTGTAGGTAATGTCACTTGTAATCTGCCAATCTGGAAAGCCTTGCACTGTACAGTAATTTTCCTAGTTTTTGCTTTGGTCAGCCTTCATTTTGCTTTGCTTTGGGACTTTTAGAGCTGCAACTAATGATTTCAATTTGCCAACTAGTCAAACAATTATTTCTATTGAACAACATTTCTGTAATACAATTTTTAACCAAATAAAGGTTGAAATATAGTGAGTATAGGGAGACTACCGGTAGTCATGATTACGGTAATGCTGATTAATCATTTCACCCCTTATTTATCTATTTATTGAGTCATAGTAAAATGTATCCCTATGTAAACCAGCAGACCCCACTTAATAATGTTTCTATGTTCAGTTATTTATACAGATGTTTTAATGCTCTTACCTGCCCTCTGTGCATGTACCGTCTCACTGGACAGGGTCAAAGCCAGGACGATTAAGACCAGGGTGATCCTGAGTCCCAGTCGTATTTCCATCACGGCCTAGTTTCAACTCTGCTTTGTTTAGCCTATTACAACCATCAAGCTGTCCCGCCTGTGGAGAGGTCAGTGGAAACGTCAACAAGTCATGCACTCAATGGAGAGAACAGTCATTTTGGACAGCCTAGGTACAAAACATGATCTTAACTAAGAGTCCATGTGGTTGTACAGCTTTGTAACAGAAATGTGAACTCCTTCTTTGGGACAAGAAAGTAGAAGTGAGTGAGGGTGTCTGGAGATTAAAATGAGTAAAATGGCATTTGGGTTTTCCACACTACAGGGATGTTAAAACGATTATTTTAAAGTGCATCAGACTTGTTAAATGTAAAAAAGTCACTTGTGTAGTTTCATTCCCTCTGGTGGTCAATGTCTTTTCCATGTTTTCTTAGTTTTTATGTGGATTCTGGTGGGAAAACAGTTGCCTACCCAGGATGTCCTAATTGAAACTTTAGCTGAAAATACACAGTTCTGTGCAGAGACAAACCAATAGTCTCTCCAGAAAATAGCAGCCGCATCGACAATGGCTGCATCCTACTGCCAGAGAATTTTGATTGTCTCCGCCTACCGGACACACAGGGATTGCTGATGCAGCACCACCTGCTTGTTGCTTTAATGGACTCATCTATAACTCTGGGTGGCATTAAGAGAAAGCTGCCATCTAAACACAAGCCTATTTCTGCTCTCACTATACACTGGTGGTTGTGATGCCTGCCATTAGGCCTGTGTGTGGCTGGCTGCAGCCATAACATGGCTCATCCTGACTGCAGGTTGTTTGGACGCAGGGGGTTAGTGAGAGAAGTAAAGGAAACTTTGAGCACTGCTGCTGGGAAAACAATAATCACTGTCTTTGTTCTCATGTCATTCTCTTCCCTCGGTACAGTTGAGGGGCTCTGCTATTTCGTTTTATGACTAGTTATGAATTTGTTCTCCAGTGGAATCTAGAGCTACTCTTGACCACAGCTTCTGTTGATATATAGGTATATAGGTATCAGAAGGGAAAAACTAAACTGACATGTTTAGCACACACACATTAATAATGGTAACTTTTATCAGTAAGAAATCATCAATCACTTGTTCCAGTGCATACTACTATTTACAAACCAAATTTTTGGCCTGCATGCATTATTGGACAAGGCAGGTGTAAGTGTGAAATGTGAGTGAAGAGTGGGGAGAGACATTAACAGATTGTCTGAGCTGAGAGCGGATCTCACAACACCGAGGCTTCAGCATGTGTGGAGCAGCCTATTCTGTTGGAGTATTGTGGCACTAAAACAGTGAGGAGAGAACTAGGATGAATTTTAACACATCTGCCGCTTAACTCCAACTGTTGCTACAGGTTAGGTTGCTATATTTGGTGTTAATGACCAGACTTACTCGGATCTTCTTGGAAATGTTTTGAACCAGTTGTAACAGACTGGGACTTGAGTTGACCCATATATCCTACTGTAGTTTGAGAAATATAGAGATGTCATTATATAGTGGTATTTTGGCCTCTAGGTACAAGTTTCCTTATCTGATTCCAACTATTTCTGCTCATTGGTCTCATTTGGGGCCATAAAGGAGCAGTGTAGGAACACCAGCCCAGTGACTTTAATTGGTCAATTTGTGCAGTTAAGACATGACTAATTTAGCATACCCCCATGACAACAGGTTTATTCAGGCTTCTAATCCTCTCCTGAACTCTGATGTTTGGAGTTTTATTTCAAAATTTTGAAGAAGAGCGTATCTTCACATCACTTAAAAATTCTGTATTTAATTAGAACCAATATGATGTTGATAAATAGGTATGTTACATGAAATAACACACTCATTAAAATATTTTAAAAGTAATTAAAAAGTTAATAAAAAAATTTCTTATTCAGAATTAATCTTTACAAAGCACACAATATGAAAAATGTTTTCATAATAAGATTTTTTTTCTTATATTAACAACAGTACATTTTACAAACTACTGTTTTCCGCTATTAATTGGTATACATTTTTACGCACTTGTTGACTTCTTGTAATTTCTTGTTTCTAAATTTTGTATACTAAATCAGTTAGTTTCATGATCTTTTTCCAGACAGTTGCAGTGGCATGTCATTTCATCTAGTGACATTATGGGATAATCCAACTTTACTGGTTAGCTGTTGAGTTTCAGAAGTTAATTACTTTCACTATTTTGACCCAAATTGGGAATTTACAAATCATTTTAACTACACTGTTTTCTTTTACACCAACATTATTGAGATTTTCTTTTTCTTAAAAGCTCATGGTCCAGCTTATCTTCATTATGTAGCTATATACTGGCATGTTTCTCTCTCTGATTCCATAAAACCTGCTTGTGCAAGTTACATTTGTAAAATAATCTAACAATGTTTTTAACTAGATTTTTCTAATACTTTTTATACTTTTAGTTAAACAGTTACTATAGCACATCTGAGGTAAAGCTAAAATCAAGCTGTCTTCTCTGTCAGCATCCAAGGCCAGATCCTTTACAAACTGTGTGTCTGCATCACCTGGCCTGTTTCCACTTCCTGTCTCAATGATAGACCAGGGACTACAATGCTGATGTCTCTAACAGAAACTCCACGTTTATCATAGCCAGAATGAGAAAAGCAGAACGAGTTTGGAAAAATAGAATAGATAGACTGCCATTTGTTTTGAATGCATGCTAATTTTAAATAGACAAATTTGTCTTGCAATAACTTGACTGAATTGAGATGTTGAATACTTCTTACCTGATTTCTAACCTGGAGGTTTTGTCTTTGCCTCCAGGAGTAATTCCGTCAATCAGCACCTGAGCAGCATCGTTAACAAAATGGCCTGTAATCCTGAAGTGATCCCACGCCAAAAAATCCTCCAAAATCCCAGTAAAATATTCAAATATAATCCAGTTTGACAATCCAGTGTTGAGTGTTGATCCTAAAGTGAGGTGAGCTTCCAAGCCCTTGTGGATGTGTGGACAGAGGAGGAGGAACTTTGAATGTGGGAAGAGTGTAGGATTTCACTGAGAGGGGGACGAGGTGACTTCTACTGTTCTGCTGGGCTGGGCTGCTTCGAGCCACGCAGCCAATTATAGAGGCAACTTTCAGGATATTTTTGTCTGTTTCTCTCCCCCCTCTTCTATGACTGCGCCCAGCTGAAAGAAAAGGCTCCCTTGGCAACGCGCCCCAACTGTCCGGGCCCTTGCCACTGGGAGAGCCGCAGAGGAGCCGCCCTGGAGATGGTGTGGTGGGTTGGGTCGCGTTGCACGCAGGCTGCCACACACTACAGAGAAAGGCTGTGATTAAGTTTAGGGAAATGATACAGAACGCTGGTGCTCTCTGGCTGGCAGGCCTGTGTCACGTATCGTGTCGTAATGCAGAGGAACAGAAAGGCCCTGTGATCTGCGCTTCCCCCCAAAGTGCTGTTTTGACAGATTTACAATCATGTCAGCTAACAGATCTTTTAACGGGAACTTCTGAAATGTATGCTAGTTATGATTGTTTACACGTGCAAAGGCAGGGGAACAGGGCCAATGTTGTATACTACTCATGTTAGATCACAAATAAACTAAGACTGCACAGATAGAGATACACGGTTAAAAGATGGTCTTGCCTGGAATTTACCACAGTGTGGCTTTAACTTCTCTATCACCATGGAGACAAGAATGTGTCGCTAACAGGCCTAGTTACAGGTGAGATCTGTGGAGAGTTGGCTCCAATCACAGTAAGAATACATGTTTTCAAGGTATTTTGTGCACTATTAATTAAATTAATGTTAAATACATTCCATAATGCACTTTTCATTTGTTAATTCTATTTCTTTTTCTCTGAGTTATTCAGACTTTACAGTACCCAAGTAAACGAAGTATAGAGTTCAAAAGAATTCCAAATATGCAACCTCTTAGAACCTGAATTTTTTGTAGTAGTATACTTTTAACTATTTAGGAGTTACTAGTGTATACAGTCATTGACTATTTTATTATGATTTGATTTAGATATAAAACATGAAGACATTTAATTATCGTCTAAACTGAACATTAAACCACCCTTTCCAAGCCATGCAAAAAAGAGCTACAACAGATCGGGAGATGTGTTCTGTAAACAAATGTAAGCCACCAGAGACACAACATGCTATATCCAGACTTTAGCAGATCTGCCACTAACATCTTGGTGCCAGATCCTCCAGAAACCAACAGATGGTTCAGCGTTTGTAGTGCCAACAGGGAGATCTGCTCACATAGTAAGTGGTAATAATGTTATGGTCCATCATTATGTTTTACAAATTTTTCAATTTCTGAAAAAATGGCCATTTGTGGCAAAAAAAAAAAAAGTCTGAATCCACGCAGGCTCCTTGTTTACTATACATAGTAGTGCTTGAGCCATTGTGCTACGATTGTGTCCTCTAAGATGCCATAGAATGAAATAGACTGATTTCTAATTGCAACTAATTTTCGAATCAGCAGAAATTTTATTAACGTGCTAATGCATCTGGGAAGAAGAGCTATTGATAAACATTCTGACTTTCTCCTGATGAGGATCAAAAAAGTAATGGCTTAGCTATCAATTTAGCTTTCATCTTAACCAATTCTGCTTGACCTATGCAATCAAATGCTTTTTAAAATTTTGACCCAAAACCAAAATAATGCATGTTTTTGTTTTTCATTGCGCTGAAAGACGTGTGTCCCATTGGAAACAGGCTTGCATATTCAGAAACCTGACTCTTAGTTGGTCTGGAGGGGAGCCTGCACTTGCTTTGTCTTCATGGAAATGTTCCTTAGGTTTTATGCCATCCTTTGGAATATTACAATCAATCTCTACAAAGAATTTTCTAAAGCAGGGATCTTCAACCTTTTTGGTAATGGGCATTGAATTAATCAAATTTTAGGTATTCAGCAAAATGTTTTTCAATTCAAAAATCTCTTGGCAAGCTCGTGCGAAGGGGTTGTAGAGCTATGGGTAGCCCCCAGGGTATAGGATGGAGACCCTCGTTCTAAAATATGATTTTAACTTGTCATACTGCATTCAGAAAGT